GAATAGGAAGCAGGAAAAGTTAGGGAAGTAGCCAGCCACAAAATTTGGGCCTTTCCTAACGCAGAATCGTCAATAAATAATGCAGATTTCACCAACTGTCATTCCTACACCACCACCACCACCACGTGTAATTGAGCCTGTCATCATGGTAGAAGATCTTTCGATCAAGGCTCGTTTAAATAGTAGAAGTATAGCCCGAGTTTCAGGGGTTGTCATTCATGTCGAGAATACCGATATGGAGATTATCCATCATTCATCAACATGATTACCAATAGCTATGCCTTCTCTGGGGCTAGTCATGAGGACCCTGACGACCATCTTCGTCGTTTCGTGAGCATATGTGATACTATGAAGAGTGTCACAGTGTCTGATGATGCAATCCGCCTTCAGATGTTCTCATTCTCTCTTCTAGGGAATGTATCATACTGGTTCTAGAACTTGACACCTCATTCCATCACGACCTGCGAATTTTGAGAAGGTTCTAGACTTCTAGCTACTCAGAAAAGATAGATCATGATTCCCTTAATCGAGCTATTGATTCAAGCACCTAGATGTAGCTATCCACAATGTCATCATATACAGTAACCTTCAAGTTCACAGGGCATGCACAAATGAATATGCAAATTTGTGTTTCTAAATAACCGATCTACTTTTGCCAATCTCTTCCATTCTATGTTATTCACGAAAATCCTTAATTTGAGATGACTAAGATTTGAGTTGCCTAAATTAATATAAATAAAATTATCTTCCCAATTATGTCACAAATGCCCAAATCAATACTTCTGCCAATCTCTTTCGTTCAAAGTTCAAGTTTTGATCTTCCCATTTAAGTCACAAATGCCCAAATGATCAATACACATAAAATCCCAAAACTCAATGCATCAAGCACACTAAACTCCGCTAGATAACTTCGATTCTTATGAGAACGCCTTAAACCTCTCAGTAACTACTCTAGTTAGATGATGCAAGGTAAAGTTTCAATTTGAATCGAAGCCAAATGTACCTTTCAATCTTGAACTACAAAGAACTTTGGTTCCCCCTCTATTAGAACAACAATCTGACTATTTCTTGAATCCCTAAGGAAGCTTGATTTGGAAGGGGAAACACAGAAGGGGGAGAACAACTTCAAAGTTTAACGCCGTTGGTGAAGAAAGTCACTAGATATGGGAGGATCAATGGTCGATAATGGGAGAAGGCTTGGTGCTTTGATTAACCGACAAGTTTGACGGGGTTCTTCAGCTATTAACCCGGCTTTGCCAGTCACTAGGGGAACGACGGAGCTCCGTACCCAATTTCAACTTTGACTCCATCTCAGACTCAACTTGGTCAGCTACCAGGGGAATGACGGAGCTCCACACCCAGCTTCATCTCTGACTTAGCTTCGCCAACCGCTAAGGAAATGTCCCGGGAAATAGGGGTGGGAAAAGAGTGTATAAGAAGATTCTAAAACGTTGACAGCCAACCCCAAACTCGACCAGCCTCCAGCCAATTGACAGAGGGGGAAGTGTGGGAAAATAGGAAATTGCAAAAGGGATATGGAACAAGGAGGAAACGACCATGCGAGAAAGAAGCAAAATCCCAACACGAGTTCCCAAACATGGGTGGCGGCCATGAATCAATCTTAACCTGCGATCAGGTTTTCTAAAAAGGGAGAGTTGCGAGAAAAACTCGAGAAGTCGTGGTAAAGACAAGGAAGAGTAAACCCCTAAGGTATACTTACGCTTTATAATATTCTAATAAATCCAAATCTCCTAAAATCCCCACAAATGTCCCCAAATAACAATAGTGATTACAATATAATAATATTAACTAATAAAAATTTTCCAAAATTATGTATCCATCAGTCCCCACCACTTTAGAACAACCTTGACCTCAAGGTTGATGAGCTTCATAATTCAACTGCATGGGATATTGAGAATTATTAATTTAATGGTGTATTGCCTAATTCTTAATAATAATATTCCATAATTAAACGGCATAACATGTTCATTGGCGTAACAGTGTCCGATGTTGTATCGCTCGTAGCAGTTGTAACACTTGTCATCTCGCCTCTTCTTCTCCATTTATGCTAGGGTTAGGCAGATACACCATTCAGATGGCCGACAAGAGTCGTGGTCCAACTCGACCACCTCCGAATCCTCTGCGACCCAAACTTCCACCGCCTCCTCTGTTTCCATCTCCACCAACAATGGCGATCATCCCTGCTCCTCCTCCTCCTCCAGAAGTCGTGCTTCATATGTTGCCCATGCAAGACCTAGGGTTGCCTTCCCAAAGTTCCCTTTTCATCCTATTAACTCCTCGTCTTTCCTCTTTGCAATCCAAAAGGTGGACCGCAATGCATCTGGCTCAAAAACCTTAATAGTAGCTGTTATTTCTGGTTCTAGACAAGGCAAGCATAACCCTTACAAGGTTCCCTCTAGAATACCATAACATAAGTTTCAAAGTTGTTCAAACTCAAATTGGATGTCAATTACATACCTAGTTTGCTTGAGTTTGACCAATTGCTCTTACACAGACTCACAAGTGCTCTTGAAATTGTGCGCAAATTCCTCTTTGAATTTTTCCATGTGAACAATCTTTCCTAATCTACATAAGTCCTCTTTAGCCACTCACATAATTGTTGTGCTCTCGCCTATAGGTTCAATGAAGCCAGATATACCCTCCTTTTTTCTAGAATATCTTGATGTCAGACATCGCACAACTCAATATAGCCATAAAGATGCATCCTCGATTCCAGAAAACTCAGCAAGCTCGATGATGGACATTTTAGCGCAAAACCAACTCCCCCCTTCGTCTTGGTGGCCTCGGTTGAAGCTCCGGACTCCATGCTCCCTGCCTTCAGTGTTGCATTCTACGTATGGCACCATTTCACTATCAGTTTTCATCTTCTTGGGAATTAGGTAGCTCTTCATACAGCCTCCCCCACCGGTTTCCCGACCCGTGACTACCGCCATCCTTCAGAAAACCCCTACTACCAATCGAACAACTGAAATGCGGCGCTGCTAGAGAAAGATGACTCACCGATCGTTCTTGGTTAGTTAAGTCTGCCCTCCTCCATCTTGCCTTGTCTGACTCAACCTGATCAAACACCAGATTGAATCGTACCGCCTGAGTTTGCGCCACCAACCCTTCTCCGTCAACCTCGGCTGGTCGAGAATCTCCCACTCATAGGCAAAACATCAAAAGTGCACCAAAAACTTATCTACAACCATAATTCCATGGACCATACACCATCATAAGCTCCAACCAAACATCATGCAAGAGGAGAATCGTGAGTACGATGGGCGGTCGACAATTGAACCAAAAAGATGAAGTCTCTCTCTTTACCATCATAAAATAATTTTTAGGTTCCTTCATATTGAGAAGGCCTTTGAACCTTTGGATCACTGATGTAACTTTAAGGTAGCTTCTTATATTGTGCTTCTTTTGTTTAGTTCTTAATAAGAGAAGTAACAATTGGACCATATTCATCAAAATAATTGTGACTTAAAATTGGTATAAACCAGAAGATTTCATTCTTTTTTTTAGAAAGAAGATATCTTTTCCATTCTCAAAAGATCACACAAAAATCAATCATCAAATTTACACGTGATATATTCGATATTTACTTACTTTTTGGATAAAAAAGAAATTGAAACAAAAATTAGCAACCCTAAGTAATAATTTTATTCATTTCGTTAACTTCAACCAAATGTCTTCATTGCCCTCAACATAACACAGGAAAACATATCCCACCCTCTCCTAAGAATGGGCATTGGTCGACTCGTTCTAAAATAGAATTGAAGTGAGATAAGATCATATCGAAACTAAAGGAAAAGTAAGGACCATAATCGGACCAAAAACATATTTGATTCACTAGGTTGGATTTGGTCGGGTCCAAATGTAATTTCAATCCACTTTTCTTCCATACTTAGAATAATTTTAGGATAGAAACATAAGCGAAATATATTTGATCCAATTCGATTCAATCTAAATATCGATTAAGTACAATTTGATCTAGGCCCGTATCAGCTTTTTTTTCTTCAAAGTTAGCTTCAACCTTTAGTGAATGCCTGAACAAAAATACATAAAATGTTCGGCCATAGCTGATCATGTATAAGGAGCAAGGTATTGTAATGTAGCCGAAGAATCCACCGTTTCGACTACTACAATAGTGTACTCCATTGCCCCTCCAATTGTATCATGTGAATGAGGAGGAATCCCTCATTGTATCATCAAGTACCATATAGTTGAGGGTTGGTGATCATTGATTTCGTTTAACTTTCACCATTTGCATATGCTGTCTTGTTACATTTAATTATCCCAGCACATATTTCCTACTGAACTAGTGGAAAGCAAATGAACAAAGTCACAATTGATGAACTTGCAGAAGCAAAAGCATAGGTGGTTCCAACTTCCAACAACAACATTCTCTCGTCTTTCTTGTTTTGGGAAACCTTATCAGCCCGCCGGTGATGTGTTTGGGCTATGAACAGACGCCATTAGGTATGCATTTCAATGGAATTTAAGAAGTCCCATTCAATAGAATCATCCTTAGTACTTCTAGTTCTAGGTGGAGACTTAGGAAGAGGAAGCATTTACTTTTGTGGGGCTATTTGGTAGATATACAAGAAAATTTTGTGGACTATGATTTAATCTTCTTGCTGGTAAAATAAAATCTAGTTAAGAACATTACAAAATTTTGTTAAGACTTATTTATTAACAAGATCATATGTGTTTTCGCTAATAATATTTTGTAAGCCAAATATTGACGTGCTAATTGCGCCGACTGTTATCGTTTGGTTGCAATTGGTTTGATGTATTTGAAAAATGCATGATTTACATGATTTTCAGTTTGCACGCTATCACATTGTACAATCTATTTGCAAAATTATTGTCTGTTTCATTGCATTAGTGTAAAAGATGGGCTCGAATCGATCGAGTACAAGAAGGGTGATCAAGTAACTCCATTTTCATGCCAAAGCTTCAGCTATAGAAGGAAACGGGCCACAGTAGCAAAGCTCAAGAATGATCAAGGGAGATAAAAACGTAAAACATAAGAGAGCAAGGCGCGGAGAAGGCATGGAAATTGTTGTCAAGAAGCTGTGTGATGACATTGGCAGGCAGGCTGTACCTTTTCAAAAAGTCTATCAGCAAACAACATTGAAGCAGAGCCGCACGCAACGCAACGCAGGCGCACTCTTTGAATCTTTGGCCAACAAGGCATGAACAACGGGATTGATGTATTTTACCGTAACTGCCAATTCCCCTCCCGGCCCGTTTAATTAAACCATCCTCACCCATTCCACCACATGCCTGTCTTTTCTTTTCAGATCTGTCTTCACTTCCCAATTCCCAACTTCCACAGCTCATTCGAGATTTTCCCTCCTTTCTCCTCCTCTTCTCTCTTCTCAGTTCTGAATTCCTTCACTCCCTGTTTCCGTTCTCTTATCTTCCAATCCCAAATACTTCTTCTCCTAATTCAAAATTCCAAACCTTTACAACTCGAGCCGAACCATTCCAACTGTATCTGTTCATTATTCTTTCCTTTCACATCAACCTCCTCCTCCTCCTCCTCCTCCTTCTTCTTCTTCTTCTTCTTCTTCTTCTTCTTCTTCTCTTCTTAACCCTTGGGTTTCGCACCACGAAAGTTCTCTTCTACATTCCGTCACCTTCTTGTCTCCTCTCTGCTCCCCCACTCCCTTTCGCAATTTTCCATACAGGGGAAGAAAAAAAGAAAAAAAAGGAGAAACAAAGTTGGAATCTTTTGATCGTAGCAAAACGCTTTCAGTTCCACTCTTCAGTAATACCCACTTCCCAGATCTTGATCTCTCTGCCATTCTGCAATCCAATTCCCGGAAGCCCTAAAAGCTGCTCCCTCGTCCTAAAATGAAGCACACCCATTTGGTGGAATTACTCGTAGCATCATCATTTTCGGCCGTTGTCCTGCTCATTCTCCTCGTAGTATCCCTCCTGGTTTGCGTAAGGAGAAGGGGAAAGAAACCCCAATACGACGTCGAAGTGACAGAGCAGGAGAAGAAGAAACAGAGTGGCGAGACGACAGGGACAGAGGATTTTGTGAGGTTCCAAGGTGGGCAGGAGCTTACTGTCACCGACATTCTCGACGCCCCTGGAGAAGTCATCGGCAAATCCAACTATGGTACCCTTTACAAAGCCCTTCTGCAGAGGAGCAACTGCGTCAGGCTGCTTAGGTTCTTGCGGCCCGTTTGTACGGCGAAGGTTAAGGATTTTGGTGACGTCGTTCAGTTGCTGGGTTGCATCCGGCACCCTAATTTGGTCCCTCTTTTGGGGTTCTATGCTGGCCCTAGAGGCGAGAAGCTCCTTGTTCATCCTTTCTTCAGGCGTGGCAATCTGGCTCATTTCATACGAGGTCAGCTTCTCTTTTGTTCTCTCTCTGCTGTTCTTACTTCTTCCCCCTTTGGTTCTCTCTGTTTTTCTTACAACATCTCAGAATGGTACTATTTTTATGCCCTTCTGACATCAACAGTGATGGGTTAAAATAACAGTTTCCTGCCAAGTTGACTTTACCCTCCTCGCATCCGTAGGCTTTGCTGTCTATTTCCCTCTTCTGTTCATCAATTTCAGTGATTCTGATGGAAAATGCTTCAATCTTGCTTTTTCTTTTTTGGAAAGGAAAATGGTTCAATCTTGCTAGGTTTCGACAAATGCTTGGACCCATATAATGGTTTGGAATAGTACTTGTCAGAAGAGGGAATTCAATTATAATTCATTAACATGATGGAAGGAATTGTCATGAAAAAGCTCTTGTTTGCTTTAATGCTGTTCTTTTTTCAGTTCTTTCCATTGATCATCATTCATGACTTTATTTTTGGTGAAATCTTGTTCCGTCTTTTAATTTAGTAAAAAATGTTTCTTTCCTGATGATTGGGGGGTGGGATGGTGTTGTCTGTAATATGATTAAGATTTCAGAGACAGTAAAAGGCATTTATGATTTGTTTGATTGATTGTATTGGATTACCTGCTGGCCAGTTGGTCAAACTATAATTAAGTTGTTTCTTCCGTTTGGTGATTATCTTTTTCTTAATTTAGCTGTTGGGACCAACTTTCTGGGCTATTTTATCTCCTTGCTTTCCCTCTAAGCAAATGGAAATCATGTTGCAGCAGCTGCTGCTGTTCTAGTAGTTGTTTCACCTCGATAATAATAATGCTTTCCCTGTAATCAGCATTTTGTCACGTAACCACGGCATATAATAATGCTTAATCCTATGTACTGAATCAATCGGAATTGGTTTCCTTCAGGTGGAAATGCCGAATGTCACAAATGGACAACCATCCACAGGCTATCTATTGGTATAGCCAGAGGCTTCGACTACCTCCACACAGGACTCCAGAAGCCTGTGATTCACGGCAACCTCAAGTCGAAGAACATAGTCCTCGACCGCAGCGGGTCGCCTTGCATATCGGATTTCGGCCTGCATCTCCTCTTGAACCCTACAGCGGCCCAGGAAATGCTCGAGACATCTGCAGCCGAGGGGTACAAAGCTCCCGAGCTCATCAAAATGAAAGATGCAAGCGAAGTAACTGATATCTACAGCCTAGGTATAGTGTTGCTCGAGCTGCTCTCGGGGAAGGAACCGGTGAATCCAAATCCAACTCCCGATGATGATTTTTACCTTCCGACATCAATGAGAAACGCGGTGCTTGATCGTAGGATCGCAGACATTTACCACCCGGACATTCTTTTAGACAGTGGGAGTGAGAGTGAGAATTCTGTCAGGGAAGAGTGCATATTCAAGTTCTTTCAGCTTGCAATGTCTTGCTGTTCCCCTTCTCCTTCTCTTAGACCCAACATCAAGCAAGTGGTGTGCAAGCTCGAAGAGATGGGAAGATAACAACATCTGAAGGAGCAGAAGTTACTCGGTCTTTTGTGGGTAGGCATGAATGAAGAAAAAGTTGAAATCTTTGGTTGCAGAAAGCCAGAAACCAAACCCTGGGCCATGTTCCACAAGAAATCAGGAATTGGTGATCGGCTTTTGTCGGGTCTTCTGGGAAATGCTTTACGTGTCGAAAAGCAGCATCAGACTATACAGAAAAGAAAAGATTGGTGCTTTATCTGGTCCCAGAACGCATTTGTAGAAGTAGAACAAGGCATGCACGTTCATCAGAAAGAGCCAATCGTCAAACAGGAAGAAACAAAAGTGTCGAGTTTTCTGTCGTCTACCTGAAGCTAACAAAACCTTGGTGGGTTGAAATAGAGACTAGACTAGATTTGGGTGATCTTGCTTGCCTTGTGTGTGGGGAATGATATACTCGGCTAGCAAGTTTTGGTTGGCGGGTTTTCCTTTGTGGAAAACCTCCAAACGAAAGAGTCCAAGGGAGAGAAAACTTTGAGCACAAGTGCAGGGTAAGTTATTTTATTCCCTTGTCCTTTTTTCTTATGATAGCGACACAGAAGGAATTATTACCATGTAATCGACACAGAGTAGTAAATTTGAATGAAACAAGTGTATAGATTGATTTGATGATCCATGAACCTGCTCTGTTTCCTCTGTTTTTCTGTTGTTGCTCTCGTATCGTTCCCGCCGTCTCATCATCGAGTCACTATTTGGCTTTGTCTATACCATGTTAGCAAATAATAATGTGTCGTACTCCTACATATCCTACAGAATGTATTATCAATAATGCATATCATGGTTTAAACATATCAACAAAGTTCATCAAGGGAAAAACTACTCAAGGAAAGGGATGTAGTATGATGAAAACTTAGGGGTGTAGGGTAGGATTATAACTCTTTTTATTTTATTTTATAATAGTGATGATATATTACTGCAACAAAAAGGAGAATCCAACAAGGTACAAAACAATTCAAGTTGGGATCACAGGGAGTGATCACAAGCAGAAAAAAAAAAAAAAGAGAATCCAACAAGGTACAAAACAATTCAAGTTGGGATCACAGGGAGTGATCACAAGCAGAAAAAAAAAAAAAACAGGTGGAGAAACGGGCGGAATAGGTTAGGGTGGTTACTCAATTTTGAGTAATCAAGGTGGCTACCTACATCTATACCATTCATTATCTTTATTTTTTATATTTTTAAATTAACGATTAAGATTAGCTAAGGGTAATTTAGGAAATGAAAAACATACCACACTTGATTACTCTATATATTATATTCAAACCCTAATACAACTTATCTACCTAGCCGCCGTCTCTCCCTTCTCCCACCCCACAACCGGCATCCCTCCCTCCCTCCGTTTGCATATCTACACACGAGTCCAATTGCCATTAACAAATGATATACAGTCCAAAATGACAGGGGAGATGAGATGGGATAGCCACTAACCAGTCCAGTAAATCGAGCATCAGCTCCAATGATTCTGCTCTGCAAATGGATGACGAAGCATGGACCAAAGCGAATTTATGTACCTTTTTGCTCTCCTGCCCCCCTCCGACCACCCCAACCCCAGTACAGCTCTCAAAAACCCAAACAAGCCATTCGCCAGCTTCTTCTTTCACGGCCCAACCGGAGTTGGGAAATCACTGCTCGCCGGAGCATTAGCAATGGAGTTCCTCGGGTCGACAGATTCGCTGGAAAAGGTGGGATGAATAAAAACCCTAGATCTGATTTTTTCGTATTGGTAGTGATTTTTTTGTAGTGGTAGTGTTTTTTTTTTTGCATTGGTATTGTTTTTGTCGCATTGGTATTGATTATCATGTAATGGTATTAATTTGCGTGTATTGGTATGGATTCAATCTGCAATGGTATTGATTTTTTGTGAAATGATATAGATTTATATTGGTAGATTGTTTATATTGGTAGTTTTCGTGTAATGGTATAGATTTATTTCTGCAATGGTATTGATATTTTTCAAAGTGGTAGTGATTGTCTAATGGATTGGTAGTGATTTCGTGTTTTTTTTTTCTTTTGCAGAAGATTGAGAAAAATAAGGAAACGGGATCTGCCTGAAGATTATGGAAGTGAGAGAAAGAGAGAATTGTAATTAATAGATTCTTGTAACTACCTAAAATATAATTTATTAAAAAAATAATTAATACAATTTATTTTTCATACCCAATTTACCCTTAGTAAGTAGTAATCACCGTAACCTGTCCCACGGCATCGCAAGTGCTAGGAGGACCAGACCTCCCCTGCACGCAACAACCAGGGAACCACGACTAGGTTGACAAACAGAAAGGCCAGGGGAACAGCAAGCACAAGAAACCCACAACAACCGGGGAAAAAAAACAACGGACACCGAAGCAGACAACAGAGACACCAGAACAGCAAACAGGAACATGCTCAAGACCAAACACCGTGCAAAAATCAGGAGTTGAATCGACGGTTGTTCAACCACTCAATTCCCATGCTTCTCTCAATCTTCCCGTGAGCAAGAAGCCACTCAATGATATTCCTTGTCAACTTCCGCAGCACTCCATTAGACGAGCAACTAGTGTCCTGGAAGATGCGACTGTTTCTCTCGATCCAGACGTGCCAACACACAGCATGGAGAGCACAGGCACAGAACCACTCACAAACACTATCAGATGAACGGGAAGGCCAATGCTTGATAACCGAAACAAAATCCTCTACCGGAATGCGAACGTTACCAAAAAAAAAGAGTCAACTCCTCTCCAGATGGCGGAAGTGAACATGCAGTCAACAAATATATGGCAGATGGATTCTTCTTCTCTTTTGCAGAGCATGCACATGTTGGCCAGATGAAATCCCCTCCTCTTCAGATTGTCAATGGTCAAGATGGCTTTATGGAAGCACAACCAAAGAAAGCTGCAGATCTTTGACGGGATGAAGTTCCTCTATATCGTTTCCAACGGAAAGTCATCAACACCGGGGAGTTGATTGGAAGCACCTGTAAAAAGAGTTAACAGAAAAAGCAGAATCTGGATTCGGACCCCAGACTACTCTACAACTACCATATTTGACTACTTGGTTTTGAGTGATCTTAGGGTTGGGAGTTTTCCCATACTTTTTTAATTGATTTGTATTTTTTTATTTTAACCCGAATTTTGGATTATTTTTGAGAATTTGTTTATTGTGGTCTAGAAAATTATATTTATCTTCGATATATTTTGAGGATTTTTTTCCTACCGCTCACTATCACCTACTATCGCTTTAAACAACCTTTACTTAAAATTGTAAAAAAATTGTGTCTAAGTAATGAGTTCATCACGATTATAAAATTTGATATATTTATGAAACAAAAATTCAGCACAAAAAATGTATCGTTCTCTACCACCCTGGTATAAGATGGTAAATGGCGGTAGACGATGGTTAAAAGGTCGTAGATTTTTTTTTTAATGATGTTTGGCTGTTTCATTAAAAACTAAACACAATGTACAAAGATTACATCACTGACGAAAGCACCAAACGGAAACATGATTGAACCAAAAATGAAACAACAAGGCCTAAGACTTGCACGCCCAAAACCCATGTCCAAACACGTGGACAAGCCGACCCCAAGCATACCTTATACCCGCTAGCCCTAACACACAAGTCTTGACTTAGTAGGCGCAATGGTGGATTCCCCGGTCGCGGAACTGAATTGGAGGGGCACGCTTGTCATTATTAAAAATTGAAGGGGCACATAAGTGTGGTGTTGGGCATTGTTGTCGTCCACCACAAGTATCATGAGCATACCACAAAAGACAAATAAGAAACATAACAAACCACAATACAAATATCATAAAACATACCGGGAAACTTATAAAGCATATTAGAATCTTATCACACCACAAAGTTCATAAAGCATACAAGAAAACTCATAAAGCATATTAGAAAGTTTATAAATCATACTAGGACATTATCACACCATAAATACTCGCAAACTTATAAAACATATCACAAGTTTCTTATGAAAGACCACAAGCTTCCTGAACCATACCAATAACCTCATAAAGTATACCACAAGTTTATTAAATCATACGACAAGTTCATTATAACATATCACAAGTGTATTAAAACATATCACAAGTTCCTTGAAGTATGCCAAAAACCTCATAAAACATGCCACAAGTTTCTTAACGAATTAGAAACCTCATAAAGCATATCAGAAACTTCATAAAACATATCATAAGTATATTAAAGAGCGTCACAAGTTTCTTAAAGTATATTAGAAACCTCATAAAACATACCATAGATTTCTCCAAACAGACAAGAAACCTCATAAACTTATGATCTATTTAATAATAATAATAATAATTATTATTATATATATATAGTAATTAATCCCAACTACCTTATTACCATCATCTTAATAATAATACTTGCTGAATGGTCAAGGTGGTCGTTGGTTGGTTATAAACATAACCATGGAGGGACCATGTGGACTGGAAATACAAAGGGGACCAGTAATTTTGTTGAGAGCTTCAATTCCTTTCAGCGACGTTAATGCCACCATCTATGGGACCGCTTCCCGCCACTTCCATCATCCCAAGAAACCATTCTTCTACTGTTTGTTTGAACCATTCCCTTCGATTTAGCCATTGGTTTGGTCATCAATCTTTCTTTGGGAAAGGAAGGCCTGCAGTGCAGTCTGCTGCAAGCCAATGGGTTCTTAAACCTAGGACAGAACGAGCAAATGGTCGGTGTCTCAATAAATGCAGGTTGGAGGATTTTTCGTGCCTTTATTTTCTTGATATCACGTAGACTAGATTGTATTGAAAATTTTGGCCTTTGGCTCTGCGGAAATCTTGAATTCAATGTTGCCTTTCCAAACCAGTGATTTGTCGCCATCAGGAAACGGTAAATTCTTTAATACTTCCGACTTAGCAGAGGCTTCAAAATCAAATCAGTGGATTTGTCAGATGCCGACGCTAGGGGGAATTGATGTCACTGTCACCAAGCCCAAACAGGAAGGACTCCTAACTGAGAGATCGATTGTGTTGTTCTTCTCCTGATGAAGTTTGTAATACACAATCGATTAGTGAACAAATAGTGCTAGGGTTTGTTGGTCAGGTAATGTTTGTATGAAGTGACTGTTGGGCATGTTCGACTTTAATTAAAACATTCTTTTGTCTACTCCTTTAATCATATTTGACAGTATAACGGTGTTATATTGCATATTTGTGTTGGATTGAGTTGATTATAGATTACGTACTATCTATGATAAATTATTTTTTATTCAGTGATAACAATTTTCAAAAAGAACACATACATATGTAGGGGAACATCTAAAAAAATGCACAATTGAAAAAAATGAGGTCTTCTCTTGGTTAGACTATAAATCCATTATTTCACTATAAACCTCGCCAAACCATTTGCTTAACGGTTATTCAGTTAATCGATATAATAATCAAGAACCGACTATACGGTTACTATTAAATTACTAATATAAATGGTGGGAATTAACGGTAAGCACAACATGATCAATGGTTAATCGACAACCGGCTAAATAGTTCCGATTATAATCGAAATGAACAATTTTTCATCCCTACTTGGATCGATGCAAACTCAAAATATGCAAGAAAAATCGAAGAAAATGAAAGGGAGAGTGGCGGCGGTGACTGGTGAGGTAATGGTGTCAAGTGTCAACCGCCATGAGGTGGTGGTTGGTTTTTCTTGGGCCTTTTCATTTTTCCTTTAGTCTTTGATGGGTATGGTATGGGTTTTCAAGTTTGAGGGCTTGATTTTGAGTTTTGGAGATGAAATGGGTGAGTAGGAGATTGGAAATGTGGGGGGAAGTTTTAGAGAAGATGATGGAAGGAGAGGGAGATCAGGTTTGGTATAGAGAAGGAAGCGATAAAATGAGTGGAAATGAGGGAAGGGGCGAAATTTGGTCCCCTACATTGGTTCGCAGCGGTTGGACCCGGCAGGCGGCCGTCCAAGAATATGTCGAGAAAAAATAGGCAATTGTTGCTTTTGTGTAACAAACTTCTCATGAGACGACTAAAACTATAGCACTACAAACAGTGTATCATGAGATCTGATTATTGTTCTCGGGTTCCTCAAGTTTTGAGCTTCCTTCTTGGCCTCTTTCCAGTCATCTTTGGCTGATGAATAATAGTATGCAAGTAATGTAACATTCTAGGTATAAAATCCATGTAGCAGGAAGAGGACTGTTTCGAGCAGTGAAAGCTGCTTTAGTACAAGAGCGGCCTGCTATGGAGTTCAAAGATCTTCACACCATCTACTTTATTTCTATCTCTTGGCAGAAACCGATGGAATGTTGTCCAAGGACGTGAACATGAAGTTCCCTGAATACATGGCTTCTTTGTCTGCCAATTGAACAAAAAACACCCATCAATAAAAGCAAGTGAAGCTCAGAATCAAGAGGCAATTTCCATAGAATGACCAACAATTTTGCTTCATAAACCCCCATGGAAACGTTTCAATATATGGTCAGAAACATAGGGAGAGGATGACTTTTACCTGTTAATGTAAAACAACTGACTTCTCGACGAACATACCTTGTCATTGCCTATCAGTACAGAACTCAAATAGTTAGTTGCACTCTACAAGGAATGATGTCCTAAACAATGAAGGTATGATTTTATCCAGAAAGAAAGAAAGCCCATGATATTAACATCATCGGGAATAGCAGGTCAGGCCAGGATAACATGCCTGGACGGTGCGTGATGCAGCATCATCTGGCTGTGATTCACCATCGTCTGCAAAAACATTCCTGCAGCAGGAAACTTGTTGTGACACGTTACTAGTTACATAAGCAAGCTTCATTTTAAACTCGACGCAAAATTGAAAGCAAGCTATAAAGATGTTGATGTGGATAATCTTGTGCTTCAAGTTCCATCAATGCTCCTAGTGGAACACAGCAGCAGGTCAACTACCATAACTGCATACTGGTGTCAAATTCTCACCTCCATATGACTTTCGGCAGCTCATCTGGTTTAGCCTCCGGCAGTAAGGCAGCATCATAAGCAACAATGTTTCCATAAAATATTTTCTCCAACTCTTTCATCCATTTTGTCAGTAACAAGTTAACCTGCCATTTCGAAGTAAGTAAACAGAAGCAGAAAGATGCGAAACTATAAAATATCTTGTAAACTAGATCCCAAAGTAATAGGTTTGGGTTTAAAACAAAATGATCAAGGGTGCTTGCCATCCAGAGTACATCTTAGACATTACTGATGATGAATAATTAACCCTCAAACATGCATTTAACCAAATTACCCCTTCTTTGGATACTCTAAGCTCCACATCGTGATTGTATCTCTCATAAAGGTATTGCCCAAATTCAGCACCTTCTTTTCCTTCTTGTTTGAGACGGCGTAAGCAAAGCCACATATGAAGTACAAGTAGTGAAAATGTCATCTTAAAGGTCTTCTCCATATTGAAAACTGAAAAGGAAACACGCAGCAAATAAATATAACAGGCATTAAATCACAAATACTTTAAACAGACCACATTAGAATAGACAAGATCAGAAAGGAAATGCGCAAATAAATCGACATAATCATATAGCATACCATACCAAAATCTCATTCACTGAGATAGACATAACAGATTCAGCTACAGATGGCAAGCTACAATCAGTAATCAATATATGACCATTAAAGCGGATTTACCTTCATAAATAGCAGGTTTATCTACTTGATGAAGGATCCTTCGGTACACCACATTTGCTCCCCGAATAGATGTGCTTTGCTTGCTATAAAACAATAGCATCTTATAGATAACATGGCGGAGTCCCTCGTATTTCGGCTCTTCAATTCTGAGCCGGGAATCTGGAGCCAGAGCCAATGAACAGGGCTTTGACCAGAACATTTTATCCAAATTTACCTGTTTATAAAAATTTGTACTTCCATTTGAAATCAACAAGATAATAACTCCAACAGTCCTTTTTAACGATACTATATACAACAGCTAACTGTTCAGTTGTTGACCCACAATGCAATGCAAGTTATCCCTTGTATCATTATTCACTAGTTCAAGCCCATTGCTGAGATGGAGAAAGCATGCCCTTTATCAACCTGTAATCCTCAGCTGCCATTTTGAGAGTCCTCCAATCATGTAATAATTAAGGGGGAGCAATGGCGATTCTGTTTAAATTTTTCCACTATGAATCACAGCCCTTAGAAGCACAGGAAACCAGAAAGCATTTGTTGTGGCTATAGTTTGGCTTTGGCAAGTAAAAGGGGAACCGAATCAACTCAATCAAGTAGTACGTACCACTGATTTTACGGGAGAGCTCATAGCAGGAGAATCATTAGGAGCAGGCGCCACAGTTGCAGCAGCCGTTGAATACCAATGCCGTGGCGTAAAGATTACATCTTTCCGCAGCACCTCCATAGGAGAAGTCGACCCAAGCTTCGAGAGTCGAGAAACCGCTCTGCTGCATCGCTGTAACATTGAGAAAGCTGCTACCCTGCTCCAAAAATCTAATCCGCCGCGGACCTCCAACGGAGAGTCGCAGAAGAAAGTAACACCTGAGGAGGAATCGCAATTCGGAGAGAGGGGAATGAAGAGAAGATTTGCGGATTGCGGACGGATTCACCCGTATACGGAGCAGGTGTTATGGGACTGATGAAGAGAAAGGGCAGGGGGTTTTGTTGTCGCCGGTTGATTTAGGTATATACTCCAAAAAGAACAGTTTCGAGTTTTCTCGTTTTTTTGCTCAGACTCAAGTAAAGTAACCAACCGGCAGCGCGTGAAGCTGGCGGATCTTTTTTTCCAAAATAGTACAGTTAGTAACAAGATTGGTTGTCAACCCGTGGTCGACAGACCCACTTTTGATCCTGATTCGGTGAGAAAAATGGTTCGCACGCATTCACCGGATCGATCGCTACAAGGTCTTGGGTTGGATGTCAAATTGTGTCATTTTTTCTCTTTGGTTTGCGAAATGCGCCAATTTTTCGATTTTTCTTTTCGCCTAACTCAATCGTTGGAATCCTTAGTTGAACATTTGAATATTGATGTTATATAAGTGTGTGTGAAGTTTCACTATATGGTTGATGTAAGTACAACATGTTACTTTGGAGTAATGTTATATGATATTACTCATATGTTAGATGCGATTTGATATAATTTATCACGATAAGTACACTATAATGACTATTTCCATATTTTCGGGCTAAAACAGGTGACCCGTTAACCCTTGACCCACTAGCTCGACCGGATCCGGGTCAACCCGCGGGTTAACAACAACGTGGTATGGTTAAACCTAGTTTAATCGGTATAGATTAAAACCGCGTGAACATTACTGGGTTGATGGATAGTGAATTTCATTAATCAAAAATTAATTTATTATTTATTTTATGAGTTTAAAGTTAAATGTTCAATGTATTTGTTGGATTAAAGTATAAACATTTGGCTATTGATGACAAAAATTGTATTTAAATACGAGTATTTGTAATTTTATAAGGAAAGTCACATTTTATTTAAATATCAATATAATTATATGTAAATTATCTTCAAATATATTTTATATATGATTAAATTGATTTATTGTTAATGGGTTTTCTATGGATGTTGGTTTCAATAGGATTGCTATGCTTTTCAGTTGGGTGGGCAACGGGAGATAATGGGTACTTTTGCAGTTGATACGGTAGATTGGGTTGATATTGAATACTCGCCTGATGATAGTGCTATAGTGATCTGGGATTCTCCTCTTGAATACAAGGCATTGGGCTCATATTGTCATTCACGTTACCATGTTCCATTTCCAAATTGAAAAACAAAGAAGTCTTTCAAATGTAATATGTTGGAGCATATCTGACATTGCATGTAAAAGCTGCTGATAAACAAGAGGGAATGTCGGTTATGTGGAATAACTTATGGAGTTGGAACTTGTGTTTCGATTTGCAGGTTCTAATCTATTCCCAAGATGGTCGTTGTCTGTTCAAGTATCAGGAATATGAGAGTGGACTAGGGGTGAAAAGTGTTTCCTAGTCTCCTTGTGGCCAGTTCTTAGCTGTAGGTAGTTATGATCAAATGTTGCGGGTCCTAAATCACCTTACCTGGAAAACATTTGCTGAATTTATGCATCTCTCTACTGTTCGTGCTCCTTGTTTTGCTGCTGTCTTCAAGGTAATTTTGGGTACTTAGCTTCAAATTTTCTGTTTAGAAGAAGATTTAACTAATGACAAGTATTTCTCACATATGTTATCCTAATTCATCAGGAGGTGGATGAGCCTTTGCATCTTGCCATGTCTGAATTAAGCTTAAGCAAGGAATTTCTCCAAGGCCGTTCTGGTAAAGCTCAAGTCTTGTAATAACCTTACACATTGAAGGAGCATGTGATTATCGTAATGCTTCTTTTCTGTTGCTTTTCAACCAAGATTAATTCTTTCACTAGTGCCTTCTCCTCCCTAAAAGATGCCACAGAAGAACCCTACGGAGTTAGATACGAGATTATGGAAGTACCTGTTGCTCTGCCTTTCCAAAAGCCTCAGGATGCCAAGTCAAATCCCAAGCAAGGAATTGGTGAGCACTTCTTTCCCCTGTCAAAACGTCTTCTTGTAATTTGTAAATGTCTTGTGTTCGTCATAAACTTCGACTGCAATTTGCTCAGGTGTCATGTCATGGAGCTGGAGCAACGACAGTCGATATATCTATACCCGAAACGACAGCATGCCGGCAGCACTCTGGATATGGGACATCCATCATCTCGAGCTAGCTGCCATCTTGGTGCAGAAGGACCCCATAAGAGCAGCAGCATGGGACCCAACAACATGCAGCCGTCTGGTTCTCTGCACAGGTAGCTCTCACTTGTATGTATGGTCCCCTGCTGGGGCATACTGTGTGCCATAACTGATCTGAAATGGAACTCCGATGGAAGTTGCCTTGTGCTCAAGGACAAAGACTCGTTCTGCTGTGCTGCAATGCCTTTGTTGCCGGAGTCCAGCGAATATAGCTCTGATGAATGATGACAAATACCTTACAGACATCAATGAGAAACCAAAGCGGTGGTAGCTGTCACCGAAGCTTTTTGTGTATGTTAGATTGCTCCCACCAGCTGTTGTAATCGAGAGTAGAATGCCTCCGGCTCATGCTTTGTTGTAAAAGTACGGTTGGTAACATGTCGTATCAAATTTTATGTTTTCTCTGTAAACCATTAATAGAAGCCGCATGAGTGAACGCCAAAAGCTAACAAGTGACTTCTAATGTCCTTGTCATGGTGTTTGTTCATCTTTTCTATTACGAACAAATTATTTTCACCCTGATAAAAAAAAATGTCCTTATGGTTCTCTCTTATGGTTTTCTTGTTATGAAACGATCAATTCAATTAATTTAAATAGCATTTTTTGCAAAAATTTACAACAATATTCTGTTCAAATTTGAAAAAGAAACAAAATTATGAATTCAATTTTGTAAAAAAAAAAGAAAATACATGAGTCAATTTAAAACACACATAGACCAGTTCATCATACAAAATTTTGACTCACACTCATGTTAAACGAAATCTTGTCAACGTCCCTCGTTGTATTATATGTATGCATGTGGTAGGTAAGCAAATTTGAAAAATGGCAGTATTGGTTTGAGGTCGTCATAGTATATGGATATACCTGCTAACACAAAGTTGGAAAATGACAGTATAATAGGCTATTAGTCCCAAGATCAAATTTCAATCTTGGGAAGTTGTTACAAATCTTTTGTTAATAAACCCTTCTCACACAAAGTTGGAAAATGACAGTATAATAGGCTATTAGTCCCAAGATCAAATTTGGGAAGTTGTTACAAATCTTTTGTTAATAAACCCTTCTCACACATTATACGATATAAGGTGTATGTAGTAATTGATATAGATGAAGAACAACTAGATAACACGGGGAACAGATTAGGTCAGTAATCTTATGGTAATTATGAGTAACATGTCCACATCAGCATGACATCAGCGTTCCTCTCTCTCCTGAAAAGTCTTTAATTTTCCCCTCCTTAATCTTTGACGGACGATTTCTCATTCGTTTTAAGTTGAAATTTAATTTTTTTTACACAGTTAGATTAGATTAATTGTGCTCTTCAAAATGATATTCACTTTGATATATTTTTCGAACAAAAAATATTGAGCTATTTTTTACCAGTCTATATCATATGGTATTGACTGAAATTGAAATAAGAGCATATCTATGGTTTGAAAAGCGTATCATGGTGGTATGAACAAACCAAGATTGTAGTATGCTTGAATACATGATAGTAGAAATATATTAACTGTCATTTACGACTTTTAACATTGTGTACCATAAGATATCACCCCGTACCAGGGTGGTATTGTATGGTATTGTGTGGTATTTTTTGGTCCTATAATTTGTTCACCCAGAAATCTGTAGATCCAATAGATCATGATGAACTCGTCTCTTCTGTGCAAACGTTTTCAAAAACGAATTAAAAATGAAGAAAATACCATATGGTATGCAGTTGGTACCGAGAGGCGAGAATTTTTTGTTCTAAAAAAATTGAAAATTGATCTCATTTTGTAGAGCACGATGAACTCGTTCCACCTGTGCAAAAAAAAAAAAAATCCAAGTTAAAACGAAAAAGATATGAGCCGATTAAGAAAGTTAGGGAAAATAAAAATGGTTTTTAATTCTCTATTATTATATCTGGATTTTCTAAATGAAGGGTCCATATTTGGTTATTGATAGATGCATAACCAATGGTTATGCACCCTATTTTCAGCCGATAACACGACTTAATGGTGATTGATTTATGACTATGAGGTAACATGTTATGAAACTTAGACTCACACATGGTATGAATTTATTTGGTGGTGTAAAATATGGAATAGCGCAAAATAAGACAAGCAATTAGCTGTACCAAAAGATGTACGTAATCGGTAATCATCACAAATTTTCGAAACTTCGAGAGAAGGTTTTCGATAGATTGGGGAACTGCCGGTTTTGATAAGCATGATGCTTCCGGCGGATGTTCAGACAAGACAGGGCGAGACTAGAAAAGAAGATAGCTATATAGCTGCAACTTCCATTAGCATCCCAGTCCGGCCCAAGACAACATTGGAATAGCAGACGGCATTGGCTGTGCAGTGTCGTCTGAAAGCGTAAGTCGACTGATTCCCCTGTGTTTGGGATTATTGGGTTGGAAGGCGCCTGACTTGGCAGAATCGTTTTCTTCTGGAGAAACAATAACTTGATAGATAGATAGATAGATGGGTTGATTGATTTCCGAGTCAAAAATTTGAAGCAGCAGAGACAGAAACGTATTGTCTTGCTTGCCCACGGCCACTACTAAGCAGTAGGTGAAGTTTTGAAAGGTTCCGTTCGGCGGCAGGCAAATAAAGATCCGCTGCCGCCAAGCACCTTTGCGGTCTAAGCCTTGATGTGCGCATTGCCGACTGTCCCAGAAAATGACAGGAATCGGCTTTTCTGGGTCTGCAATTAGTCGTGTGACTTTGTTAATGGTACCTGTCAAAGAGTTTTAACCTGGGTGGGCTGCTGCCGGGAGTTTTTTTTTGATAAGGGTGAGAATTGCATTAAAATAGAACCAAAACGGAACCAGTCCGAGATACAGAAAGAAAAAAGCGGCACCAGAGGTGCAGCACCCACGGAAAAGAAAAGAAAACGAAAAAAAAAAAAAAAAAAAAAAAAAAAAAAAAAAAAGAAACACCCGACAGCCTGAAAAGGACAGCCACGCACAGAGAGCAAAGTCCCTCACGAAACAAGGACCAAGACCAAGACCAAACTGTCAAACTAACGGGAATCAAAGCCCCATCCGACCACAACCATCACTGAGAAGAGCAGAGGAAAACAGACAGAGAGAAGAAGAAGACAGGGGCGAGGCGCGGTCAACAACCCGGCCGCCACCAGCAACCCGAACCCGAACAAGGATACCAGAGGATTCCAACTAGCCCAGCACCTGAAAGGCAGCCGACAAACACGACAACAGCCAGCGAACGAACCCACGGCAACAACCCCACCGAAAAATGCCCCTGTGTCAGTTCAGCCTCAAGGGGCGGAGCCACTCCATCACCTGAATCCTGCTGATCTTGCCTTTCGCGACTAGCCAATCCGCCGTGGATCTGATAGCAATCCAAAAGACCTCCTTGGCGCTTCTGCTAGCATCCTGGAAAACACGCCTATTCCTCTCGAGCCAAATTTGCCAGCACACGGCGTGGAGAATGCAGAAGCCGATCCAGTCCGTCGTAGTGTCCGGAACGTCACTCTTCCAACACTTGATGGTGTCTAGGATCTGCTCTTGTGGGGCGAAGGAATCACCACACATTCTTCTTACTTCAGTCCAGATCTCCAACCCGAACTCGCACCGAGTAAACAAATGATCAACCGATTCTTCATCCCTACAACACATACAACATCTGTTAGCAATGGAGCAGCCCCTCTGTTGAATTTTGTCCATCGTCAATATCCTCTTGTGCGCGACCATCCACATGAACGCATTGATTTTCGAAGGAATGCTCTTTCTCCACACGGATTCACTAGGGAAGTTGGGCACCCCATGGAATCGCCCATCCGTCAATAACCTGTACATGGAGCGCACTGAAAAGCTCGAATCGGGATTAGAACACCACGCCAATCTGCTGGGGCCGCAAACGATCCTGTGCTTATCAATAGAATTCAAAAGAGTGAAGAAACTCTCTCTCTCCCTCTCAGCCCCTCCCCTCAAGACTAAAGAAAAATCGATATTCCACTCAATATTCCAATTAGGACCCTCACCTGATCGGCTTATGACATCAGGCAGCAAAGCCTCGGGATTCGCAGCGGCAGCGGCAACTCTCGGGAAGGAATGCGCAAGAGTCGTCTGAGGTAACCAGCAGTCGTTCCAAAAGGAAACACCCGCCCCGCCACCCGGGTCAATAACTGCCACTTTCCAGAATTCACCGTATTCCTTAGAGATGTTGGCCCACACCGAACTTCCAAACCCATTCCTGCACTGTTTGCTCTGCCACTGGGAATTGCTAGCCTTGTATTTGAACTCTATGAGTTGTCTCCACCAGCTCTCTCTCTCCGTAGCGTACTTCCAAAGCCATTTAGACAGCATAGCTTTGTTAAAGCAGGCCATATCTCTAATACCCAAGCCCCCATTCTCAATACTTGCTTTGCAAATCTCCCACTTAATGAGCGGGGTCTTGTGATTATCCCCGGCACCGCTCCACAAAAATCTTCTTTGGATTGCCTCAAACCTGTTCAGCACACCGATAGGAGCCCGAAGTAAGGAGAAGAAATAAATCGGCTGCCCGGAAAGAGTACTTTTGTTCAACACCAAACGGCCACCGAAAGACAGAAATCTACTCTTCCATCCGTCAAGCCTCTGCTCAAACTTATTGATAATAGGATCCCAAGTGGAGATAGCATTGACCTTGGCGCCGAGAGGGAAGCCAAGGTATTTCGAGGGCTCGTTGCTCCAATTACACCCAAAAGTAGCAGCAAAGAATTCCGGAATCGCTACATCCCCAACAGTAATCATGACCGACTTCTCAAGGTTAATCCTCAGTCCCGTAACACTTTGGAAACACACCAAAGTAGCGAGAATATTCAGAACTTGATCATAAGCAGCGTCGCAGAAGATCAAAGTGTCATCGGCGAACAGAAGATGTGTAACCTCACCATTGCCATTTACTTCGTCCATACAAAAGCCTCTAATCTTCCCCTCCTCCTGCAATTTGTTCAACATGAAGGAAAGAATGTCCATAATGAGAGTGAACAAACCGGGAGAGAGCGAATCACCCTGACGCAACCCCTTCTGCGGCTTGAAGTACCCCTTCGACTCGCCGTTGATCAAGGTGGATATGACCGGGGAACACATAGTACCTTTGATCCATTTATTCCACTGTGCCGGGAAACCGATAGATGACATAGTCTTAAACAAGCAGTCCCAGCTCACGTTGTCAAATGCCTTTTCGATATCCAGCTTAAACATAAGTCCCGGCTTGCGACTCTTCCTGCGGCTGTCCAGCAGTTCGAAAGCAATAAGACCAGCCTCAGAGATCTGCCTTCCTCTAACCGAAGCATGCTGGTTCTGAGACACAATCTTGGGAAGAACATTGCTGAGACGACGGGCCAGCACCTTGCTAATAATTTTATTCAAGCTGCTCATCAGGCTAATAGGGCGGAGATCCTTGATGTCCTCCACGGCATCACGCTTCGGCAGGAGACAAAGAAATGAGTGTGTAGCACACTCCGGCAGAACACCAGTATTGAAAAATTCAGCAATGGCGTTCAAGAACTCCTCCCGGATGAGAGACCAAGCCTTTTTGTAGAACTCCCAGGAAAACCCGTCCGGCCCGGGGGCTTTCCCCCCGTCGCAGTCCGCCAAGCTGACCCAAACCTCCTTTTCCGAAAAAGCACAGGTCAAGGCCGCAATATCAGCGGCATCAATTCTCCTATCGGTGTGCGACCTCGGAAAAGGACGCCTCGAAACAGTATCCTTGAACAAATTCTGGTAATACCCCACTATGCCTCTGCCGAGAAGCTCCCTCCCTTCATGCCTAACTCCATTGATGTTGATGCAATCGATCAAATTGAGCTTTCTTTTATAATTAGCAACCCTGTGGAAGAAGCTAGTATTGTTATCTCCTCCCTTCAGCCACAATTCTTTAGACAACTGTCTCCAATGAATCTCTTGGAGGAAAAAGAGCCTGCTCAAAACAGCTCTCAAATCCTGCCTGTCTGCTTGTTCCGCATCTGTAAGTGAACGAGATTCCTCCACCATGTCCAGCCCCTTGATAAGACCAAGAGACTCCTCGATCTTCGAATTGATATTGCCAAAAACCTCTTTATTCCATATTCTGATGGTCTGTTTCAGATTCTGAAGCCTCTTAACCCACAGGAAAGCTTTACCGTGCCCACTCACCGTGCTCCTCATCCACATTTCGAGACCCTCAAAGAATCTCGGGTCCTCCAGCCACATGTTCAGAAACCTCCATGGCCTTCGGACCCTAAGCGTAGCACCCCATTTGATCAACAAGGGATTATGATCCGATTCAACCCTTTCCATAGCCGTCAAAGTGCAATCAGGATACAAAGCATCAAAAGTCGCATTAATAAAAACTCTGTCAATACGCGAGAGGGACCCCGAACCGTCCCCTCTTCCCCACGTAAAGTTACAGCCTCCGAGAGGTAGTTCTAAAAGCTGGTTATTATCGATCACATCGTTGAATTTTTCCATCAACATCGTGCACCGCCTCCCACCCCTGTAATCCTCGTGGCCTCTAACAAGGTTGAAGTCACCTGCAATACAAAGGGGGTTGGCCGCGCTCAGACACAAGGAGTGAATTTCGTTGATGAACTCCAGTTTAGCTTCCCTCTCTTGAGGCCCATACACGACAGAGAGAGTCCAAACTTTTAGTGTGTTCACCTCCTGAAGATCGACAGACAAATGGAATCTCCCCTCCCTATACGCGAGAGCTCTCACAACTTCCTTGTCCCAGTAAACAGCTATCCCACCTGCGCTATTCTCCGCATTTTTTGCTGCCCAACCACTGTCCCTGTTTCCGCTGATGCTCCTGATCAGCTCATCATTGCAAACATTCCACTTGGTCTCAACGAGTCCAACGATCTTCGGTTTCCTCAAACACAGTACGCGCTTAATCCTGGACCTTTTCGCACTATCCCCCAACCCCCTTACATTCCACACAATCACAGAGCACTCCATTATACTGGTTCAGCATGTTCATCCCCACCCCTTCTGCGGCTCCTGCGATCACCTGAAACTGGCACCTCAATCAATCCTAGTCTGTGTCTTTCCATTTCAAGTTTGGACCTGGGTTGGCGCACTTTTCTCTGATGCATTTCCCTGGCGGTATTCTCTATCAATTTCACCACATTATCCGCTCCACCCTCCATTTCAATCTTGAATAAACTGCTCAATTCAATGCTGGTGGCCACGAGAGTTGCTGCGTCAAAGGGGAAATCGTCTTGACTTCCCACCCTAGCTTGACTGTCCGGAACGCACGAGGGGGAAGGAAAATCAAAATCCCCGAAGCTGGAACTCAACGCGAAATGCGAACCGGGGGATGAAGGCGGGCTGGTTAGATCTGAGCACTGACTGTGAAAGGAGGAGGGAGGAGAGGTAATGGCCAGGGGGACTGGAACAGATGGGTCATCGGAGTATATGGATCGGGAAGAAGGTGAGGTTAGACCAAAAGAGATAATACAAAACGGTGGGCAAAGGTTGCGAATTGGAGCAACAGAATTAGCGGGTCTAACCCCTGGAATGAAAACCGAACAAAGCCAACCCAATTCGTCCACAGCAGGGTTAAATCTGGGCCCGGGCCTGGACAACAACTGGTACACGGACCTAAGCATATTCACACTGACCTCCTGCACACAAGGCGTGGGCCCAGGCCTGTACAAGGCCCAGTCCTCCTCCACACAAGCAGACCCCCGTGAAAGGCCCAGAGGGGGGCGGTTGATAGGGCCGAACTTCCTGACCCATATTTTCCTCCCAAGCCGCCTGGGCCCTGCGAAGTAGTTGACGTTATCGGTGAGCTGCTGTTGGCCGGGTCCCACCGCCGAAAGAGAATCAGCACGCCTCGGGGTATCCACCAATTGATTCACCCTCGGTCGCTTCAACATGTGGCCTTGCATTGGATGCATGGGGGCATTGCACGATGCAAGGCGTTTCAACTCCCCGCTTGAATCGGCTTCCGAGGCGGGTCTCCCTTTCTGAGCGGACATCGGCGCCGTGATGATTCGGATCGAGAACCGCTCCCCGGCGAACCGAACAGGGATGGTCGACGGCGGCTCATCGATCATTCTCACCCGAATGCGAATGAAGTCCGCGGACCAGTGATTCCAATCGACCTCTAACAATTTGCCACAAAATCTTCCGATCAAATTAATAAGATCGATGCTTTTCAGATGAAGCGGGATCCCAAATACCAAAATCCATTGAGAATCATCGTACCAATCCTTCTGACCCTCCTCCGGCCAAAACGAGATGAGGATATTGAAATTTTTAAAGGAGCACTGATTGAAGCCTCTGATGCGGACAGCGTGTTGAACACTTGGGCATGATAGAAGCCACTTCCCGTTGTCAAAATAGTGCCAGTCGAAATTGTCATCGGTGGCCCAATGCCGATTCGCCCATCGCTTGAAGTCCTTAGCGTCGTCCCGGACAAAACACTCCCCAGCTGTCGGCTTAAAAGTAATGATCAAGCTTCTACCCAGCAGTTCACATCTCTCTGACACCCCGACGTCTTCAATATCAATGAAGCGGTCTGCGCCTTTACCTCTTATGCTGCAACGACCCGCTCCATAAAATCCCCTGTTCTTAACGGCCTCGGCATAGGTTTTCTTCGTCGTGTCTGCAAGAACCTGCTGTCGTGGAGGGCTGCAATCGGGAGCATCAGATTGTCGGCAACCCCTTTTCTCAAAGTGGTAAAAGTCCTGTAGCAATGAAATTAGTTGTGCCCAACCTCTCCCCTGCTCCGACTGGGGGACGAGGACCTTAAAGGAACGGCCGTTCATCACCTGCTCCGAGATCTGAAGATAAAGCCTGGAACCCACATATTTCTTTCCAACGTGGATCAACCTGTCGCCACACTTCTTGACACAACCACTTGGGAACTGCCACCCCCTCATCACCGCCGTTTGAAGGACTCCTTGAAGCCAGGACAGATGCCCTTCATTGAGAAGAATGAACCATCCCTTAGAGCCTTCTTCGACCTGCATTCTATACCACGCAGCCTTGCCCGCTTCTTCCTTTTGGATTACAACCCGCCTGCAGCCAAACCACGACTCTCTCGAACATCCTTCCTTGCTGCCACCACTGCCGCCACCGGACCCGAAAGCCTGTAACCTGCGATCACAACCAAACGAACCAGGTGAACTCAAAACCCTACCCCTATCGCTCACCCCCACGGCGCCTCTCACAAACGCACCACCGGCGGCTCCTCTCTCTTTCGCTTTCTCACCGCCGGCGGCTCCTCTCTCTCTAGCTTTCTCACTCATCTCTCTCTCTTCAACTTTACAACTTTACGAAATATGCCCAACATTTCACCTTAACCCTGCTGCCGGGAGTTTTTAGGACTCTTTGGTGACAATGCAGAACATATTGTTAATTATGTGATGTGTTAATATTTTTTTTTTATAAAATTGATGGTATTTCTAGCATGTGTACCTTTTTTCATAAAAAAATTAATAGACTATATAAATTTTTATTTTATTTGAAAATTAATTTTTCATAGAAAATCGTATTTTCATACTTTGCAATACACATTTTCCCTATGGTGACCGTCGCTTAGAGAGCCTCACCGAGTGTCATTGGCGGTGGTCGATCTTGTGCTTCTCTTTTTGGAACTTGAGAGCACAATCGACTAAAGCAGGAGCGGACCAACTTTATGGTTAGGTGTGTCAAGCAACACGCTCCGTCCGAAATTTGTGTGAGAGATCCATATTTTGACGGTATAAAAAGTTAAAATATGGAACTCCCGACACACCTTCGAAAATTGTAACTGACACATCTTTATTATGTTACAAAAATTTGTTGTCTAAATGTTATTAAAATATGTAAATATATGAGGTTATTAACTTTCAAATTAGGCAGTTAATTAGTTGGTTATACGAGAGTAAACAAGTAAATGGATACTCAGTACATAATGAGTATTTAGAGAGATAACTATCACCTTAGAAATAACATCGGTCATTCGAATAAAAATTAAATTGATTAATAAACGGGTTGAGTCAAATAATAGTGAATTCCAAGCGGTCTTTGCCCATATATTCTTTTCGTCAAATTTTCTTATAGTTATTTTCCAACTTGCTTTCTAGTTTAGTTATTGCGTTACATTTAATTTATACAAAAGCACTTTTTCCTTTTCAGTTCCTTAATCTTATTCATTAAATCTATATTTTTACGATCTATGTGGCGTGATAATATACTTGATCTTATTACTCCATCGGTAATTTGCATAGATAAAAAATGTTGGATTTGTAACACAACCATAAATGTAATTAAGAAACCTTAAAAGTTGTAGTGTTTCAATATAAAAAACATGAAATTGTTAAGTTTATGAATCAAATTTTGTGTTAATTTTTTAATTAATTAATTTTTTTTTCTGTCGACACACCTATTCAATAATACCGGGTCCGCCACTGGACTAGAGTATTTCAAATAAGAATTTGTCAACGGATCTCTAAGAATTCCAAGGACAGTTGTGGAAGATGGGGCCAAGCGGCTAAAGAATAGCTTGGTTGGACAATTTTGGCGATCTTTCCCGTTTCTTGCAACGATTCATTTATGGCCAAATCGGCTGGGGGGAGGTGAGGTAATAGTTTCTTGATTTGAGGATACACTCATTCTATTCTAGGGTCATTTGCTTCATGAATTTGAGGCATAAATTTAATTTCAAATATTCCATAATCATCATGGATTTAACATAAACTCATTTTTTTGTCCATATTTTGGTGGAAGTACCAAATTCTTGGGACCCATAGATTTTGAAGGTTCAAATCCATGAACCCCATGGACTTGCAAATCTCAAATATGGGCGTGAGATTGGAACGTGGTCACAAATCCTTGGGCCCCATGATAATAATTACTTATATATCATCTTACCTCAAGAATGTAAAATAAGTAAATAAATAATGATAGTATGGTAATATACATATTAAAACTACGAAACCATAACAATCAATACATGAACAAAATCCATCAAATAAATATAAAAATTTTCAAATCCATAATCAACCAAATCCATAACAAATCCAAGGTTTTCCTAAATTCAAGTTTTGACCCAAAACCTCATGCCTCCAAATCCATGAAACAAACGACCCCCTTATTTCCTTCTTAGAAAGTTCGCAGATGGGTTTTCGAAGGGGGCCATGATACTACATAGATAATATATTGTGTTTAAGAAAATGGGTAACAGGAATTCAGGCTTTATAAATGGGCAATTATATTGTTCCCATATGGATTATTTTCTCTGGGATCCCTTCAAAACTCTCATAATGTAGGCCCAGGTCGCATAGCAAGCTCAGTAGGGAAACTGTTGTGTATGGATCAACCGACGTGATTTGGTAAGAGGTTGGGTACAATAAAGATATGTGTTGAGATTAGTGCTAAGCGGAAGTTGGTGGATAAGTTTAGTATAACTCTAAATGGGATGGATATATAAAATGTTCATTGCGATCGAGTACTGTCAAACTGCCAGTTATGTGTGCAACCTGCTGTTGTTTTTTGGTCATGATTGTTCAGTCTCTTGGGATGTTTCTACCAAGCGGATTTGGCGCAAGAAAACTATTATAGTGGTCGATATTGCAAGTTGTTCAGGAGCTGATAGGGAACTTGAGTTTGCAGCAGGCCCTAAACAAGCAAGAGCATACAGTGATTTGCCGAATATGCCCGGCCCGGAAAGTAACCTGTGAAGCCGCCCGACAGTAACAATAAAGATTTAGTTATATAATTGTTGGTGTAATTGGATCTAATAAGGTGGCCGTCCCGTACCATCAAGACCGACCGACCGGCCGGGATTTTAAGGTAGACGGATGCTTGTGGCAGTAAATAACAAAATGAGTATAGAGTGGAAGAAAGGTATCTGTGACCGCACAACTGACCAAGTACACAGACGACGATTCTGAAGCCTTTTCTCCACAGGGCTCTATCTGCCGATTTCCAGATTCCCCACAAACAAATCGAGGCAAGCAAATCACGGGAAACATTCTTTTTCTATTTTATTCAGGCCATGCATTGTTTCACCCTTTGTTTAAATCGCAAGTTAATTAGAACGAAAGAAGAAGCAGCAGCACAAAATTGTGCAAAGAATAAATTTTGGGCGGCGTGACAGGACAGGAGGACCTGCCTTCCACTCAACTAATATATACCTACATACCACGAAGCTTTCCATTTCCGTGAATTCTTCCATCTAGCTTTCTTCCGACCCGGCCAGCATTTCCAGGTTCTCTTCTTATTCATTATGCTCTTGTTCTGCAGATTTTCAAGCTATGAGATTTGGTTTGTTTACTACTATTACTTGTCAAGTTGTAATGGAAGGTTAATTAGCTTCTGGCTGCTACTTATTTAATGCAGAGTATATTTTCTCAAGCTTCACAAAGTTAGAGAGAGCTTCTTCAATTCATTTCCTTGACAGATATGTCTCGAAGGGTGAAGCGAAGGATTTCGGAATGCTCAATTGATGAGGCGACAACCCTGCCCGACGACATACTCATCCAAATCTTTTCCATCCTAGACTACCGCAGCAGGGCAAGCTTCGCAGCGACTTGTCAATCGTTCAGACGCCTAGGCTCATCTCCTTGCCTGTGGGGAAGTCTGGACCTACGCTTCCACAAGTTCGACACCGCGATGGCCAACTCCATTTCCTCACGGTCCAAACACCTCTCAAAGCTCGAGTTTCGAGGCGTAGAATCAGCTGACGCCATCATTCATCTTCGCGCACAAAGCCTGCGTGAACTCAGCGGTGAGTTCTGTCAGGGAATCACTGATGCTACAGTTTCGACCATAGCTGCTCGACACACGATGCTCCAGAGCATACAGTTCGGCCCGCTCGCGTGCGAAAAAGTGAGCAGCCAGGGGATCGAAGCCATAGCACATTGTTGCCCCAACTTGACAAGGCTTCACCTCTCTGGCGTCAGGGAGGTCACCGCCGACGCTATCAACTCCCTGGCGTCGCATTGTACAAAGTTGGAGGATGTCGCATTCATGGACTCGAACATCATAGACGAATTCGCATTGGGCAACCTCGCGTCTTTGAGGTTTCTGTCAGTGGCTGGGGCGAAACAATTGAATTGGGGGCTGGCATTTCACCGTTGGAGCAGATTACCGAATTTGGTGGGGTTAGACGCGTCGAGAACAGATATCGCATTGGATGCTAGTACCAGATCATCATGGCTTTCCTTGTCAGACAAGTTACAAATCGTGATCACGTTGGATTGCCCGAAGTTAGAAGAGCAGGGCGGTGCTGCTGTCAAGTACTATCTTGAGAAAATGAAGCATCATAATAGCAATGATGATGACGAAAGAATGAGCGGATTCGTTGCTTGGGCGGAGCGGGCTCTGTCTCAGTCACTTGTGCGTATGGCGGAGAACAACCTGACGGCGGCCAAGGTCGTCGACCCGTTCTGGGACAGGACAGGAGCGACTCTGTTACTGCATCTGCTACGAAGCTCGGAAGTCGACGTCCGAGAACGAGCGGCCACTGCCATCGCCACTTTCGCTATTGTTGATGATGATGACGACTACCCAGCTGCTACTAGTACCGTTGATTCTACAAGGGCTAGAAGGATCTTGCAGAGTGGCGGGGTGGATGTGCTGTTGAGCTTTGCAACAACTAGTATTCGACAGGGGCTTCAAATCGAAGCCTTGAAGGTAACGGACGATAGTTTGTTACAAGCGCGCTTATCATCAATTGGAAGCGTCAAAATGTGGAAACTTTAATTGTTATTATAATTCAGTTGTTTGTTCTAATGTGCTGTTCTTCTTGTCACAGGCTATAGCAAACTTGTGCATGGATTCCCAAGTTGCCAAAGTGGTGGCAGAGAATGGGGGGATCGCTATCTTGTCCAACTTGATGAGATCAAGTAACAGATTCGTAGTGGAAGAGGCTCTTGGAGGGTTATGGAACCTTTCTCTTGGTGAAGAGCTTAAGGTTGGCAAAACTAGAAACAAAGACATGTACATGTATGATTTATGTCGATGGAAATCGATCGTTTCATATACTGACAACTATATATAAGCTGGTTTTTCAGGGTTTGATTTGTGAGACTGGTGGTACAAAAGCTTTGGTTGACCTCATCTTCCAATGGCCACCCAACAGTCATGGAATTCTTGTATGTTTATGTGCATCAAACTTTTATTTATGACTAATTTTTCCAGTATGAGAAATGAAAGATGTGAGTGGATTATTTATGTATGTATGTGAATCATTGACATGTAGGAGCGTGCAGCAGGGACTGTAGCAAATCTAGTTACTGATGAAAAATGCAACTGTGAAGTGATGGCTGCGGGTGGTGTGCGCGCTCTTACTCTGCTTGCCGGGTTCTCGGAATCTGTCGGAGTACAAGAACAGGTGACTTGGTGTTACATCATGCATCGTCTATATTTGCAGCAACTCTCCCTATTTCTGGATATGTAATGAAAATGAATGAATTTGAAATTATTTGAAATTAAAAATCCCAAATGCCATAGATCCTGTCCAAACGCAATCTAGTTGTAACCATATCAAATCAACAATTAGTGCCTTGTTCTTTTTTCTTTCATTAACAATTTAGAACTTGCCTTTTTTAATTTCGTACATATATAAGTTTCAAAATTTGTGTAATTGCTCTGTTAATTAGGCTGCTCGAGCATTAGCGAATCTGGTTTCTCACGGGGATGTTAATGCTAGTAATGTTGCCGTTGGGGAAGAGGTTGGTGCAGTTGAAGCCTTAGTAAGAATCACATTTTCTCAACATGAAGGAGCAAGGTATAGAGTTACTTCTCTTCCATTCAAAATAACCTTTGAACTCACTAATCAACATATGTAAAGACCAAACTCTCTCGATTTTTTCCGAAAATCTTCTTGTTCCAATCTTTTCATTGTGATTCATGCACATATAGGTTGGAAGCTGCTGGCGCTTTATGGAATCTATCATTTGACGAAAGAAACCGAGAAGCAATTGCAGCAGCAGGCGGCATCGTTGCCCTTGTAAGACATTCATGCATACTTCTTAACCCTATTTTTACACCTTATACCTTCCTTTCTAGTTTTTTCATTCACATTTAGGGTAATGTGGTTGTCTGTCACAATTTAATTGATTTGTACGTTGCTGTGTAGATTTCCCTGGCAAAATCATGTTCGAATTCCTCTCATCAAGGCGATCTTCAAGAACGTGCAGCAGGTGCACTCTGGGGATTATCGGTATCCGAAGCTAATAGGTACATACTAGCTAGCTAGCTAGGATCTGCATACCTTGTACAAGTAGTAGTACTGCAAATTCACCGTCGTTGATAACATGTACAGCGTTGCAATCGGAGAATATGGTGGCGTACCTCCACTTATCGGGTTGGCATGCTCCGATATAGAAGTAGGTCACATTTTATCCATCGTTCATTCACTTCAATGGTATATATATAAGCATGCCAAAAAATGATTTCATTGTTGTATATTCAGGATGTCCATGAGACTGCAGCTGGTGCCCTTTGGAACATAGCTTTCGAGCCTGGGAATGCTCTTCGCATACTGCAAGATGGAGGGGTTTCGTCTCTTATCCATCTCTGTTCCAGCTCGCCTTCCAGAATGGCTCGGTTCATGGCTACATTGGCACTAGCTTACTTGTTCGACGGAAGGTACATTTATACGGACCAAGCTTAACATTTTCGTTTCCTATACTGTACGGTGTACGTAGTTTCTCACAACAAGTTTGATGCAGAATGGACGAATATGTCGCAGAAAGAGGAATAACACAAGCTCCATTCAACGCCATGATTGCAGATCGCATTAAGATGATAGCCTTGAACCACATGGGATCCTTTGTCCTCTCCTTCTGTAGCGATCGCATTTGTGATGCTGCGATGCTGTCACAGGCCTCATCTGCAGCTCTTGCACAAAGGATGCAAGGGTGTTTGATACCAGAAGTTGGGTTTCTGAAATGCAGGTACAATGATATTGCACATACTGCGAGTTTACGTTGACTTGGTAGTTTCATTTTGCTGAAATCTAGCTGTTCCCCATTTCCTTATGCAGCGAGGTAGAGATGAAGCGATTTGTTGCTATGCTAAGAAATGCTTGCCCTATATTAAAACTGTGTTCATCCTTCGCTCTTTTTCAGGTGAAATTTCATTCATCATGACTTTCTTTGTTTATATATGTTCAAGAAAATGCATAACCCGATCGACCTTACCGCTTTCAAATGCAGTTCACAATGCCAAATGGACGATACACATCACATCATGTGACCTTGTTGCAAAACGCAGGCATATCTAGGATCATACAAGCCATTGCTTCCTCTTCCACAACTCCCGTCGAAGTTAAAGTCTTTGTGAAACTCCTACGAAGTAACCTGCAACTCCATTACCATTTGGAGGATCTTTCAAATTTTCATACTCTTGTTTGTGCCTCAAAACTTACACCAATTCTGCACAAACTCTAAACAACATTGTAAGCCTTCATATATATACTCAGTCCACCCATTTTTGTTGTTCCGTTTACACTAGTCAATTATGTTCCTCAATTCCAGCTAGTAGTTGCATAGGATTCTGCTGTATAGGTTCTCTCTGCTGCTGTATAAAAACCAATTAGAAGATACGATTCTCTCTTCACCTACATGGTATTGTAGCCAAATAGACTCTAACGAGTTCAGTTACATACCTCTTTCGTCTTTGATAAAACGGCTCTCCTCCTTCTTCTTCTTCTTCTTCTTCTTCTTCAAATTGACACCCTCCAACTAGGGATGGCAATGGGGCGGGTTTGGGGCGGGTTTGCCTAAACCATCCCCATCTTCAAATACTCCAACCCATACCCGCCCCATACCCATGCGGGGAATGTTTTGCAAACCCATCCCCATACCCGTGGGTTTCGGGTACCCATGGGTAATACCCATCCCCGTACATCCAACATTATTATACCTAAAACTTACAAGAAAAGTTTTAATTATAACCATAAATAAACCTATTATATCATGAAGTCAACAAAACACAGTCATTTTCTAAATACGATTCAAAGAACATGATCCTAAAACATCCATTAATACATAATATAGACTACAATATTTTTTAAATTATTATGCTCTAACTCTTGATACATTTACTAAGTAATAATTAACTAACATAATCTTGTTGACAAGGGGGAAAGTGAAAGAGTGGAAGGATAATTGAGGGAAATGAATTAGGTATTGTTTAAGGTGGTTACTCAATTGTATTTCTACTATTTATTTTCTCAAGTTATCATCATCATCATTGATAGATTACAATCTAATCCACATATTTTTTTTATATGTGAAGAAATTCTCTTGGTGGGGCGGGTATGGGTATGGGTATGGGGCGGGGGAGGCTAAAACCATACCCGCCCCATACCCATCAAACTTTTTGCGGGTTTTACCCATACCCGCCCCATACCCGATCAAAGCGGGGATTCCCCGCGTTGACTGGGTCGGGGGCGATCGGGTACCCGCGGCCATGGGTTTGATTGCCATCCCTACCTCCAACTATCTGTTGTGGCGCACTAAACTTCAATCTCTGCTCCAGTGTCATCGTCTGATCGGCCATGTCGGTGGTTCTTCCCCTGTTCCACCTCCGACTATTGCTGACCAGCCCAATCCTGTTTATGTAGACTGCTAGGAGCGTGACCAGTTAGTGTCCTCACATGAATCAATCACTCTCTCTGAAGCACGGTCATGCCACATATCATCAACAAGCCTACCGCTCGGGCTGCTTGGGACACGTTGGCTCGTGTCTTTGATAAGACGGTGGCGTTGGGCGCATCGATCACAGAGGCAGAACTGGTTACAGCCGTCATTGATGGGTTAGATGAAGATTACCGTCCGTTCACTCGCAATCTGGAATCCAAGCTCGGGCCTGTCTCTTTCAAAGACCTGACCAGTCTCCTGATTAGTGAGCAACTGCACCTGCGCCGTTTTCAGTTCGCCGTCGGTGGCGCTTTCAATCTGCACGCCTTTTACTCCAGTGATTAGGGGTGGAAATCAATATCTCAATATCAAATATCAAAATCTCGAATATCGAATTACACCCTAAAGTCGATCCCAATTTCAATCCCAATCCTTAAATAATTTCGGTATCACAATCTCAATCCCTAAATATTTTGGTATCCCAATCGGTACTTCGGTATCCCAATCGGTAATATCGAATACAAAATTAATTACCTTTGCAATTAATAATTAAATATATAAATTAGATTTTATTGTTTGATTTAGGGGGAAAGACTAAGCAAAGAGTCTTGAATTAGGATATTATTAAGGAGAATAGAGGAGAGGAGACATCTCAAGTTCTTATCATTGGTAATCATTAATTGGATGAATTGGAGGTTGTGAGACGACTATTAATAGTGATAGAATGATATATGTATAATTAAATGACACTATTGGTGGTTGAGAGTCGTGTAGTAGTGAATAAGAGAGTCTAGTTGAGAGGATAAAATACACACTAGCTTATATTTCGGTATTGATCGGTATTTCAGTATATACCGATCCCAATCCTGTAATCTCTAATACCGAATAACAGTTGAAATTCAATCCCAATCCCAATCCCAAGAAATAATACGTGTATTCGGTAATACCAAATATAGACAAATTCGGTACGATATTTGGTATATCCCAAATACCAATACCAAACTTCCAGCCCTACTGGTGATGACAGCGAGGAGGAGGTGGTGCCATGGTGGTCGCCACTCTCGTGGAAGGGGTGATCGATTTAATGGTCGCACCACACAAGGGTGGTATCGGCCCAATTATTTCAACCCATGTTTACAGCTTTACTTGGTGGTGGGCCTTTCAAGTTCCAACCCAAGATCTATTATCTGTCACAATTGTGGAGGAAGAGGGCATATTCAGCCCAATTGTCCTAGTCCAGATTCTCAATACCAGCCCAATTATACACCTGGCCCAACCTCTCACCTAGTCCAAGCTTCTCATTCAACCCACTCCTCTCAACAATAGTAAATGAATTTCAGTGCTAATCATCACTTGACATCGGATTTCAATAATTTGGCCCAAATCACCTTTGATAGTGGTAAAACCCTCTCAATCTCTCATTTTGGCTCTTCTCATGCTTCCGTTTCTAATTATTCTCTTTCACTCCATAATATTCATCGTTTTCAAAATTCTCTTCATAATCTTCTTTCGGTGAGCTCCCTTACTCGTTTTAATCTCATTATCATTGATTTTTTACTCATATTTTGTAATCAAGGACCACCACACGAAGCACGAAGATTGACCTCCTCTGACCTTTGGCATTAGCGTCTTGGTCACGCCAATCTTTATTCTATGTAGCATCTACTATCTAGTCATCAAATAAAGTACAACAATCATTCTCCTTCTTTATGTCATGGTTGTTCCATTAACAAAATTCATAAACTTATATTTCCTTCTTCATTATATCGTGCATATGCACCTATAGAACTTATATGTAATGATCTTTGGGACCCTGCTCTTGTTCTTTTATATGATCATCAAACGTATTATGTTTTACTCCATGATCGTTACAGTAAGTTTAGCTAGATATATTTTATTCAATATAAATCTCAGCTTCTGACTGTGTTTATTCAATTATGTCAACTGGTTGAAAAATTCTTCGGCCTTCCCATCAATATTTCCAATCCGATTGGGGAGGTGAATACCAAGCTTTAACTTCTTATCTTATGACAAATTGTATTGTTCAGCGTTTTTCGTATCTCTATACTCCTGAATAAAATGGTTATGTTGAACGAAAACATCGCTATGTAGTCAACAATGGTCTTGCCATGTTACATCATTCTAAAAACAATCACATGACATTCTCAATCTTCATGATTTTGGTTGTTTGTGCTATTCGTGGCTTCGTCCTCGCACCTCTCATAAACTACTACCCCGTTCTATTTCGTATGTCTTTATTGGGTTACAGTAAATTGCAATAAGGTTACTCATATCTTGATCACTCCACCCGCCACATTTATGTGATTCGTTATGTATTGTTTGATTACCATACCTTCTCCTTCTATGATCCACAATCCTCAACATTTGACTCAATTCCCCACACTATTTCTTCACCACCCAATTCCATTACCCAGCCCACCATTATTACCAAGTCCACCCACTATTTAGTATATATAAAGTTGAAGTAGGATTACTGTTACCTAAAAAATTACACATTAGTCACTATAATATACATATTAGTCGCTATAATATATATTTTACATTTTGATACCCCAAATTTAATTTTTAATGTAAAATTGGAATATTATATTTTGGTACCTAAATTTTATGAGATTTAAGTACCTACAGATTTATGAGATTTTGATATCCAATGTTTAGATTTCACTTGAATCCATGAATCCAATTCACCAATTCTTTTGAACCAATCCACCATAACATAAGAGTATAAATTTAGATGGGATTTTCACTTCAAGAAAATATGTATGGCATTCATTTGAAAACATAATTACAAATTTTTAAAAGAATATTTTATTGGGTAACATGACAACATATTTAGTAAAATATTGATATGCACGAAATTTCGTATGACATTTTAATATAACAATTTTTAAAAAACAGCAGTAATAAAAATCATAATTTAAAAGAATATAGATATAAAAATTATTGAATTATCACCAATCCCTTAAAATAGGTGTATTAGATGTTTATATTTGTTTAGTACGTTGAACATTGAATAAATGGTAAAAGAGAGATGACTTTAAAATATTGTAAGAGCGAATTTATAAACTCATTTAGTAAATTTACAGGGTACTAAACAAACTTCTACTAACTACGTGTAACAAAATATGCAACATCTATATAAGCAAGTGTAAATAAATTACTACGGTAAAAGAGTTGGCTGTAGTATTGACGGCCAATGAAAAGAATTGGTCAAAACCATTTTCATTCGCCTTCCATATCCCTTTTCTTTATTGCTTTATTTTCCTTCTTTGTCTAATCCTAATTAGTATACTATTTTTATGTATTCTAATTCACAAGTACGAATGGGTCCATACACGACTCACCAACCGTCTATAGAATTAATAATTGAACCATGAATCACTAACTTTTTCAACTCAATATATTGTCCAATTAAAAATAAATATATATGGTTTATACTTATTAGTAGGTCGTCATTTTCCACTATGGGTTTTGAAGGCGTGAAATTTTAAGCGAGTTCCAATTTATATTCCTTTTGTTTCTCTAGAGTTTTTCTTTTTCACCCGGTCTAGAATTTTCAACAATTAAACATAGAATGTTTAGTTAGATATACACATATCAAATAAACAGTTTTCATCCCGTGGAATGCCCTTTTCAGCATCTCTATCTGGCTTCTATGGAAGAACAGGAATGAGGGATCGTTTCACGGGATCAACAAAACCCTTTCTCCGATTTCGCTCACCCAGGCGATCAATGTCAAAACCAAACTTTGGTATGATGCTTGGGTGGCGCCGAGGGTGGACATGAGAAAAGGAACTCCTACTGTGCATCGTGAGCAAGCGGAAGTTGGATGGAAGCCTCCCCCAAGGTTGGATGAAGCTTAATGTGGATGGTGCCTCTAATGGCAACCCGGGGCTGGCAGAAGCGGGCGGTGTCATTCGAGATCAGGGTGGAAGGTGGGTGGCTGGTTTTTGTGCGAATCTTGGAGCGTGTACAGCAGCTATGTCGGAGCTTTGGGCACTGTTCCATGGACTGTCTTTGGCGTGGAAAGGAGGCTGTAGAGCTCTCCAAGTGGAATCAGATTCGAAGTTGGCTTTGGAGCTAGTGGAAAAACGTACAGATCCTGTCCACCCCTATGCGACCCTTCTGGCTGCGATTCGGAGGTTGTTGGCTCGTGACTGGGTGGTGCGACTTTCCCATACATATCGGGAAGGGAATAGAGTCGCGGACTGGCTCTCGAAGCACAGTCTCGTCTATCCCTACGGTATGTATGAATTGTCAAATCCGCCCAACGAGCTGTATAATCTCCTTAATGATGATGATAGAGGAATCACTTTCACCCGCAATGTGGTGGTTACGCCCTCCCCTCCCTCTCTGTAATCTCTTTCCTTCCCCCCTGTAATTCTGCTTCTTTGGCTTTTGCCTCCCCTGATGCAAAAAAAAAAAAAAATAATAATAAACAGTTTTCATTTTTCTAACAAAAAATAAATAATTATCATCTTAAATATACATTACCATAAAAGGAATTAAGTTTCTATTGGCAACTACAACAACACAATGGTTGAGTAGCTCGCGACAAGCCACGAGTCAATTCTAGTATTAGAATTATTAAACCACAAGTTTTCAAAAATTACCAAAAATACTAATTCACTGTTCCTTAAGAAAAAATCGGGATGCACTGTTCACTGAGGGGTATTATGTTCACATGCAGGCGTTTCTATGTAAGCCTGAGTCACCATATTGGGATAAGCAATCTTGGCCGTTGATGGTAAGCAAGCTTGGCCATTTATTGTCTTCAAATATCTTCACATGCATGGGTTCATAAAGAAATGGTCACACCACACTGCTGTCACCGTCTTTTCGCGTGCACTCCCTCCCTCCTCTCTTCGTTGTCACATTTTAGATTTATTTATTCATTCACTTCCTTTACTAGCTTAGTCTAGACCCATCAATCAAATTCCTCCTCTCTCTCTCACACACACACATTTGTTCATTGTTAATTAAATTTGTATGAGATCCTTCAAATATATGATTGAAACACCATCATCAACAATACACAATTTTCCTTAAAAAAACACAATACACGATTTAGTTTGCACAATTTTCCTTTAAAAAAATACAATATGCGATTTAGTTGATATATAAACATTTTATCGAATATAATATTTGTGAATACTACTCAAACGTGAGCCTTCTTGATTTCCATGTTTGAAAGTATTCCTTTTTTATATAGGGTGAACGATTTTATTCAATTAAACAAAACGTGATATGGTAAGTCTTTCGTAATGATTAAGACATTACGTAAGCTTATAGAGGGATAGTCATTTCTTATGTATCAATTAAAAAAACAAATTACGTAGTTTATTATTTAGTAAATGTTGACCACCTCATCAATTTGCATAAAAATAATCCTACAAAGTTTAGATTTAATAAAAATGTCTTTATTATTAACTATACGATTGACCATCTCATCAATTTGTATTACACAAACAATTTATAAGGTTTGCATAATAATTTGATCAAATGTGATAACTTTTACATAATAGTTTTAACAAATGTGATACTTTTTCTTAACTTAATGTTATCATGAGACCATACAATAAAGAAAATTTACGTAACATTAACGTAAATTATAATATATTACGTAAATCTTTTGGAGGGTTTTAGATTTTTTACTTTAATTTTTGGGTTTCTTCTTGCTCCGATATATGTTGAAGTTGAACAATCTCAACATCCTTTTTTGCCTTATCAATAATTACTTTTAAATCTTGACCGTTTGCCTCTCGCTGTTTTAATTTTGTCTCTCTTCTTACTTGATTTAATAGTTAGTTTTTATGTATCAATTAAAAAGTATTACGTAAGTCTTACCGCCGCGAAGCGCGGGCCAAAAAACTAGTATATTATATACCACAGTCCGTCACTATTCACGATACCACCTTCATTCTCCAACCCACAAGCCCGCCTACCTATTCTCCTCTCCCTTCCTCTGCTGGCCCATCTCTCCAAACTCCATCCTCTGCACACCTGACCCACCACCACTAATACAACCTCCCGAAACTCACCTGCCCGAAAAATAACCTTTTCCCTTGTAGGCAAGGGATTTATGAGATTGTTTTTAAATAAAAATATGACATGAGGTACAGGTGACATGACATGTGTAGTTGGAGTTGACGATTTAAGTTGAGATGACATCCAAATTAGTGTAATGTTAATTTAACTGACCAGATCTCTAACATCATTAAAATTTTAAACATAAAGTGTTGGATTTGTCAACTAACCATCCAAAATCTACCTATTTTGTGTATTTTTAAAAAATTAGCTATTATTGTGAGAACTTTTATAATTGTGATTATGTAGGTGAATTTTACGTAAATGAACTTGTATGTTTTTTCAGATCCATCGTTTTTTGTATAATCCCTACTCACCTACATTATTGAGGATAAACACATGACGTGGAGGATTGTAATTTGATAGCCGACCAAAACCGTACAACAGAAATATCGTAGGAGAGGGAGCACATGTCATCATTAGTTTTCTATTGTTTTTCTTTTTGTTATTCTCCGATCAGCAGCTCATCAGCCATCACATTGTTCCGCCTCCGGGACCTTCTTTTCCACAAATGCCGAAATTTTGTCCAAAAATTTAATGCGCTCGCAACTCGTAACCCTGTCGTTAAGCTTTCCTAAAGCTTTGCTTCGCGTTCGGGTTTCTCTTTCACCAGTCGTCACCGCCATTTCTCCTCCTTCCAACTACCTTTTGCAAAGCAATACAGTTAGATTATATCCCCTTCCACTATCTTCCTCGCCTTTTCTCTTCCAAGTTATTCCCCTTGTACATTTGCCACGCGGAATCGCCAGATCTCGTCGACTCGTCTTCAAATGCGTATGATCAACTGACCGCCGTGATAAGGACAAAGGGTAGCGGCAGAGCAATTCTGTAACCGATTATGGAGAACGGGACTGTGCATAACGCTGTCTGCTCTTCGCAATCGGCAAACGGAAGCTGCGAAGTCTGGAGCTGTAACGAATCCGATTCTTCTTCTGCTGATCATCTCGTCATCATGGTTCACGGCATACTTGGCAGGTTAGACGCTTCGAATTCTTATTTGGGTTTTTGTTGATCTTGAATTTTGCTGCTCTTCCATGGCTCTGTTCAAATCGATGCTTGATGGCGGTTTCTTGCGCTTGGATGATCAAGTCAGTTAATTCTGTTTTCTTTTCTGATCAACAAGAGGAAAGTTCTCCATCTTAATGTTTGAATTGGTAGGTTATGACATTGGTTGATTCTGTCTTCATTATGGCTTTTCAGCTCCAATGACTGGAAGTATGCAGCTGAGCGGTTCGTTAGAAATCTGCCGGATAAAGTGTTTGTTCATTGTAAGTGTCCCCCCGTGTCTTCTGGGCATGCAGGCACTTTTGGATCTGAGTTATAAAAGCAATGCACTTTCAGTTATATCATTTAGCTTCACTCAAAACCCCAAAAGTTTAGCTTCACGGATGGGGTTTGCTTCTGACATTTTGTAGGTAGTGAGAAAAACATGTATAGGCTGACTCTCGATGGGGTGGATGTGATGGGTGAACGGTTGGCCCAGGAGGTTAGTTTCAATGCCTCTAGGAATGGCTTTTAGTTGATTGTTAAGCTTCCACATGTTTTCCTTTCTGTAACTTTGTCACTGTAGTTTGGATTTTGGGTAATGCAGTCCTGATACTTGGCTGAACTTGTGAATTACAGGTCCTCGAAGTGATTCAAAAGAACCCAAATTTACAGAAGATTTCTTTTGTTGCACATTCAGTAGGAGGACTAGTTGCAAGGTATGCTATCGGGAGATTGTATAGGGGCCCTAGGGAAGATGATGCAGAGGGCCCAAATGCCAATCCGAATAAAGAACAGCCGAGAGCCACAATAGGTGGCCTGGAGGCTGTCAATTTCATTACTGTTGCTACCCCTCACCTTGGTTCTAGGGGAAATAAGCAGGTAACCATTAGTTCTCAGTAACATATCTATTGATTCCTGACCTTAGAAATATCCAATGAAGCCTAGAAAAATGTTTCCCAGCACTGATAAATATTGTTGTTTCCGGTTTGCTAATTAAACAAGGCAATGAAACTGAACTCAATTGACTAGCCAACTTAAATTTTCCAATGCTACTTGGATATATTTCAAGTTGTCAAAGAGAAGGTTAGATTGATGCTATAGATTATGCAGTCCATTGTATGTGCTAGTCTCATCCAAGCCTGGGGTGTATTAATGAGATCATCATATGTTGTACAAGTCGAAGTGGAACTAGAATCTGAACTGCAGGTGTCGTATCAGATTGAACGAGTTCTCTTTTAATCTTATGCATTAGTCATGTGTAAGCTTTTGTTGAAGTGTAAAGCATCCAAGAAATGAGTGTCTTCTTAACACAGTTGCTCGTCCATTTCATTCAAGGAAATGTTTTAACTTGCAGGTACCATTTCTTTTTGGTTTAAATGCCTTGGAGAAAGCTGCAGGTCTTGTTATTCATTGGATATTTAGGAGAACAGGTCAACATCTATTTCTTGTAGACAACGATGAGGGGAAACCTCCATTACTTAAGCGGATGATAGAAGATTTTGGTGACCTTAACTTCATGTATACCACTTGTCTCATACTTGACTTATGTTGTATGTTATTTAGTTGTTCCTATCTCCATCTTCAATGTGCCAAAAGATTGTCATATTCAATCCAGGCGTCTTGATTTTTCAGGTCTGCATTGCGGACATTCAAACGTCGGGTGGTGTATTCAAATGTTGGCTATGACCGTATCCTTTCTTATGCTGTTGTTGAATTATTATGATTAGAAAATACAGTTGTCCAGTATATTTTATTGGTTTCTTTGACGAGATTCAATGCAGACATTGTGGGGTGGAGAACGTCTTCAATTAGGAGGAATAACGAACTACCAAAGGTAGTTATGGTTACCATTCTCTATCATGTTTCGAGTTTGCTGCTTTTCTTGTGTGATACCACTGATCCTTGTACTATATTTGCGTCAGTGGGAGGATTGTTTAAATGAGAAATATCCACATGTGGTTCATGAAGAACATTGCAAGGCCTGTGATGAAACTGATCTGGCTGAGCCCTTCTCAACAGATGATAAATTTGACAAGATAGAAGGTCTGTCAACATGTTGATGATATTAGTGTATGATCTAGCAAGATATGATGACTTTTTCATAACCAGAATGCCTTGCATAAGTTATGGTTGATGCTTGTCAAATTACAAACTCTCTCTATTTCAGAAGTATGCTGATTGAAACAACTTTTATTCGTGCAGAGGAGTTAGTGACGGGTTTGTCACGAGTGTCTTGGGAAAAAATAGATGCAAGCTTCCACACGAGCAGACTGAGATTAGCTGCTCATAGTGTTATCCAGGTAAGTATGTTCGCCCTATTTACCCAGAAATCGGATAAGCTACACAGTATTTCCTTCCCCATTCCGGAAGGGTCATCTTGAAAATGAACCAAAGGGTGAGACGTTTGTTTGTTGGATTAATTTCAGGTGAAAGATGAGAGCATGCACATTGAAGGGGCAGACGTTGTGCAGCACTTGATTGACCATTTTGTTCTGTAATCGAATAAATCCCTAACCCTAACTTAGACGGTGAGGTAGGGAACATAAGGTGCTTGTAACCTTTCATCCCATTTGCACCATCAGACCATTTTATCAGGAAATTTCGACTGCAGTGCTTGAAGATCCTGGTTGTGCCCGCTGAAGCTCAAGCAATGCTGTGAAGTACTGGGAATTTTTGTATGATCGTTTAGGAACTGATTTATTTTATATTGTATACATGTGCATGATAATGCTATGAAATAATTGCTTACCGACAGCTCAATTTTGTTTCCTTGTGTTTTCATCGCGTACAATACGAAGCTTCATCTCACAACCTAAATGAAATTTACACGTCTTGGATTCATGAAACCTGAAATACTTCGATCTTATAGACTTGCGTAAGGAATAACAAAGGTGATTAAATCCTAACCTCAAAATTGGATTTGTTGAGACGATACGCCCGAAACCCTATTATCCGCGTTACTCGGTCCAGATAAGAAAAGGACTACGTGTTCGGGCACATCTGCCCAAGCCCAAATTGGATGCCTGAAGACAAACAAGGATAAAAGCGGCAGTGACAGACAATGACGTCATGCGTTGTTCAAGGCAGTACGTTGTTGTGAGGAATAAGGTTGGGCCGCCGAGTCGTTAATCTACGGTCTATCTATACATCTATATCTATCTATCTATCTATACTAAATATTATGGCTATTCAAAAATAACTTCTTGTCACATAAGCACTTGGTGAATGCACAAGTTGCCAAGGTGGATAATTTTTTTTCAAACAAAAAACTATTTATTGATCTATTTATGAAGTTGTCTCTCTCTTCTTTTAATAATTCGTACTCATTTTTACTAAAATTAAAATAAGTTAATTTTTTAGGAAACATTTAAACAAAAAACACACACCTAAGTAATAATTTTTTTTCCGATTAAACGAACTATAAAGATGGAAACAGAGAGTGACATATATTGTATTTGTTTAACCCAAGCTGATTAAATATGATTAAATAAATTTTCTACACATCTTTACTAAAACTTAATAATAAGTTACATTTTGATGAAGAAAAAAAAACAAGCATACTCATAAATATTAATATTATTCAATACAAAATATTAACGATGGTCTAAGAGAAAATAAACGTTTGACAATCAATCGACTTTGAGAAATGAACGATATGACTATTTTTTTTTTCTATCAAACACTCACTTCTTTCTTATGTATATACCTATCAAATAAAACAAGTATAAATTATATAGCAAAATGTCGGAATATAAACTTGATAGAGCAATAATTGTTATTTTTTTAAAAACTTCTTATTCATTTCTATTAAATGAAAAATATTAATTATTAATGCAAACTTTTAATTTGTTCTATCCCTTTCCCCATTTTGATGGTTTCTCTAGAAATAAAATCCAACATTGAAAATAAGAAATATAGAAAGCATGTCAAACAGTTTTATTAAAGCCGAGCCGAGCCGCTCGACCCGACCGGTAAAACCGTCACCACAAAGCCCTCTTATTAGTTGCTAAATTTTTTGAGATTTCTAATATTTGTATTCTTATAGAGAAGGAAATGGTAATGCATACGATTTTTTTGAGCAGTTGTAACATATTTTTGCCTATTGACGAAAAAAGTTAATCTGATCATTGCGAAGATGAGGTGAACCAAGCCGAGGGTTGTCGATTGCTCCCTCTTCCTCCTTGATCTGAAGCTGGCAACTGGTCTCACTTTCTCAGCGATATGTTATTGTTTGCGGTTGACTGGCCGAGTTATACTCTTTTTCTCATTCTTTTCTTAATTTCTTCCAAATTACGACTGCTGGATGATAAATTTTCCCACTCTCGATGAGTGAATATATTTCGTCTTTGTTTTTTACTGAGAAGGGTCGCCATATACTTTCATGTATATAAAATATAATTAGAATGGTTAATTGGTTGGACTTAGGGCATACCTCCTTTGGTTGAATAATTGATCATTTTTCTTGAATGCCTATTGCAACCCGATTTCTTGAATGTTGAAATGGAAAGTAGAGTTGTGATGATTGTTTATTATATTTTATGTTCATGATTGACATGCTACTACTAGCTAGCTATACAATGATGATCTGGTTAGTAATTAGTAGGTAGCAAATGGGTTATAAGCAGAAGGGAACATAATTAGGGTTTTATAAAAGTCGCGAAGAAGAAAGAAAATGATAATGGTGGTTTCTCAGTTGTCTATTTCGATGTTTTTTTTTTAATTTCTACATGTTTGCGGTGACATTTGTTTGTTTCATTAAGGTAAATTTTTCTGCATTGAATCCCTAACTAAAGATTGATTTTGACATGATTGTTTTCTTACAAACTACTATTTGGATTGATGCATATATTCAGTTCACAAATGAGGAATCTGAATGATAAAATGAGTTGAGTGGTATTGAAGACTGCTCTTTTCATTATTTGTCTATGTTGTTATTAGGTAATAAAGCACAATTCTTTTCTGCATGAGATATGTAGCTCTCTACAAAATATAAATTGTGTTTAATTATATGCAGTTTAATTTGCTGAAAATATTGCTTTAATAAGTTAGTGACAACTGATAGTTTTGTTTGTGGTTGGTTTTGCTAGAACATTTCAAGGTAATTAAACAATTACGTGGAAGATTGATGGACGTGGATGCTAATGAGTTTCCTCATTATTCCAAAATTGTATGTGTAAGTGATAATACACGATATTCATGAGATTTATATTGGAATATTCTCTATTATCATATACCGATATATGAGAAGGGAGAGAAAATAAAAAGCTCTTCGCTTATTTGTTTTTATTAATTGAAGCATATTTTCTTATTCTAACTTCTTCTTTTGTGGCCGTAAGTTTTTTAACTTCTTTATCACAATTCTGTGCTAAAGAATGAATAATCTCTTATGTTTATAACCTTAAAGGGCGAGTTCGATAAAAAAATTCTAAATCAATAAAGAACCATCTACAAAGAGCTCAGTTAATAAAATTAAAATGTTCATAAATAAACAAAAGGTATAAAAGTATGAAATAATACCTGAAATAAGGTAAGTGGGATTTACAATTCCATGTATATTACCTTAGCAAACATAAATAATAATAACAATTAGAATACTATAACGAATTATAAAACAACCAAACAAAATACACCGCCCAAGGGGCGGGTAAAAAACTAGTAACATAATAGCCGGAAGGGAAAAACAGGGCTCCCATTTCAAAATCCCTGACTCCAGAGCGTTTTGCGGAGGGACAATTTTGAAAAGAGCATTTTCGGCTGCCTGTACTCGCGAGGAAGTGAAACACGACAGCATTGAACGGGCCAGCGCTAGACTCCGCTGTCGCCGTCGCTGAAGAAGGAGGGGGCGGTTGATGATTATTCATCTGCTTCTTTTTTACTTCTTCTTTTTCTCCACCACCACAACCCAAATCGATGTCTGGATTTCATGAAGCCCTGAGAACGTCGTCCCCAACCAGAAGAACTGATCCACCCATCAATGGTGATCGGCGGATTGGATTTGCGGCAGTAATTTGTAGGGGCATCCATGAAACAAGTGGTTAAAAGTTAAAGCAGGGAGCAAGAGGTGGGGTGGAAAGGCACCTATTCGCCGTCTTAAGTCTTAACCACCTCCTCCTCCACAGCAACCACTGCCCCGACGATGACGGACCCGCTGCCGCTGCCGATGATTTCTCTAGACAACACGTGTGAATTGTTTCTTTTCGACTGTTAGTCCCAGAAACAGCGAATTGATTCCAGCACCCCTAAAGCTTCCCACCACTGTTCTGACACACTTATTAACAATTTTGGATAGTAAGGGCAAAGTGATTGCTCGAGAAAAGCAATGTTATTCATCGGTATAACTCAGACTTACCCACGATTTATGTCATACCTCTCTTTGATTGTTTGACGCATGTTTACTTGCTTTCTGTTCATTTCAAGGCGGATGAAGATGAGTGATACCTCAGTTGGCGAGTCAGGGCCTGAAGTTGAAGATATCGTCTCTCCAAATCAAACTAACGAGAAGCAGTTGCTTCCACGTTGACACCAATCCGTGAAGAAGTAAGTAATGCTCTGGCAGATGATAGTGCAGGGATTCTCGGCTTCGAGGCCACATGTTCATTCACTTGATGCTCTCTGTACAGGCTAGAATTGGTGGCAAGCCGAGCACCGCTGTTGGCATCGCTGAATTCGATGAATATGTGCCCATGGTAGACATGACTGTAGATTCAGAATGCAAGAGACAATTGTCTTCATCTGAACAAGGTAACTCCAAAGATGCTCAGATCATGTTGATGCTCTATATTCCCAACATGATATTGCAGACCTTTCCTTCGTTCTCCCGTCCCGCGCCTATGTAATTTTCTTAGTGGTTAGCATAATTATGTCGCAATTGGCCTTATATTTGCATTGAACAGCCAACCAAAATTTGGATCCTACCAATAATTTGTTCTGGGTAAGTGAACGGGTCACCAATCTATGAAAGGCTGACCATATTTCCTTTTTCTAATTCATTGCATTCTATCAATTAGAATGCCTAAGAAACACAAATTTGTGTACGATCTCAGTCAGGTATAGGTGATGAATCTATGAAACCTTCATCATATTTACTTCCCTTATGTCTAGGAAATAGTCTGCAATGACAAGAGAAGGAAATAGGCTTCTACGTACATGTAATAATGTTGCTCTCGGATGCATGGAAGCATGCATGCATTAGCTCTTCTGTTTAGAAACCGACTCAGTTGAAATTGAATGTGAAGTTAGGTAGGTGTGAAGTTACTTGGCCTAACGATGTTTCCATTACCGTCTTTACGTAGTTGGTCTTCATATGATCTCCCAATCTTTGCAGTATATATCTAGAGTTTTTACCAAAGATTTTCCTTTAGAAGTTTGTGTTTTATCATTTTATGTGTCTTCCTGTTGTTTCTTGGTTGAAGTATTTGCCACTTCCAGTTTTTATTGCAGTCATTTTATTGCATCTTTCCCATGTGTGTATAATAGCATCGTTGTAAGGATTAACAAGCTGAAAATTAATGAATGCATCAATTTTTTTTCTACTGAATTCCTATGCTGACATACAAATTATTACAGAATTTGTTTTGATGTAGTTCCCCATTTATATTTTTTGTGATGGTTCTTGAAGTTGTGTCGCAACCCTCCCTTTTTCTTTCAGGAGAATCTCGGGGTAAGGCTTGCAATTTGACCCCTTTCTTGCTTTGTTCTTGCAGGGGGTATGTTTGTTTACTGATTTTAACGGTTTATACATGGTGGTTTGATTCTAATTGTACTCCCAATTTCGCCTCCCACCAAAAAGCGCAAGCAATTGGTTCAACGAAAGAACTAACTAACCCTCTTGGATG